CCCAGTTTGTAGGAACTCAGAAGTGCAAATGTATGCTGACGTTATTGTAATTTATGTAATTTATGCAAATGTCTAATCAGCAAGCAGCACATAATGTTGCTGCAGTGATGGTTCCTGTTATGTTGCAGTGGCTTAATGATTCTTGTGTTCACCTTAATGTAAATAAAATAGCCTGTCTGCTTTTAGTTGAACAGATATCTCCCTACCAAATATCTATGCATCAGTGGGGAAAAGGGGGTGTCAGATTGCAGATATCTTGGCATTATAATTGATTCCAATCATACATTTTAAAAGCAAATAAAAAATCTCATAAATTTTGTAAAGTTGAATTTGGCGAATTTACGCTACATCAGAAATTGTTTATATTTTAATGAAACAGTTGTTCCACATTTAGCTTACTATTTGACTAACTGGCCTCAAGGCTATAGCACAACAAACCATACAGTAAGTTAATCATCAGGCTAAAGTGCTTGATAGAAAGTCCAGTTACACGCATTGCTTATGTGTAAATAAAATAAAATCACAAATTCATAGGCTAAAATAACATGCTTAAATTTGCATATGCGCCTCCTTTATATAAAATCCTGCACCGTTTGGCTTTCAATAAGCAGAAAACAGCTGAAAAGAGGTCCACTAGATCAGTGACGAGGAGATTGTTGCGATTCCTATGAGGACGATGATCTTTCAGCAGTCAGCTTTGGAAGTAAATGAATGCACTACATTTGGCTGTTTTTCAGCCAAATCATGCCTAAAAAACAAATGTCATTATAGTGTGTAAATCATTTTAATAGTTGGCATCCTGCTTTATTTCATATGTTATCTTGTATTGCTGGATGTATCATTCATGTTTTATGTAATTTAAATGAGCCATATTGGTCAGTACTTCTGTCTTTGGCATTGCAGTTGAAAACGGCCATAATGGCAAAAATAGTAGATTTACAGAAATGTTTATTAATGTGCATTTGTCCCTGTAAATCTAAATCAAATAAAATAACAGCAAGACTGGGTGCTTGTCTATACTGGCATATTTACACACCATGATATTGATTTTGATTTATAATCAAATTGCTTTTGATTTAAAATCAGGCGATGGGTGCTTTGGATTGTTTTAAAGCACATTTTAAAATATCTATAAAAATAAACGGTAAGCTTGTTTTCTGTAATGTTATTTCTGACTGACTAACATTTATGGTACTGCGTATCCCTTTGTCTGTTTTCTTTGGTATAATTTTAAGAAAACAAAACAATCCAACCAAAAAAGCCATTTCAGGTTTGTAAGACATACTTTTAGCCCTGCGATGGACTGGCGACCTGTCCAGGGTGTATCCTGCCTTCCGCCCAGTGACAGCTGGGATAGGCTCCAGCACCCCACCGCGACCCAGAAGGATAAGCGGTTTAGATGATCTATATATGTATGTATGTATGTATGTATGTATGTATGTATGTATAAGACATACTTTTAGCTTAAACTAGCAGCACTCAACAGCAACTTTAATGTTATCTGATATTGTGATACTGTGATATGTTTTTGGACATTTTTTTAGATTAATTAAATTAGATTTAAGGCAATTTTTCTTTTTTTACACAAATTTATGATCAGAAAAGCCGTTTTCTTCCATATATTGGTAGCTATTATGAGTGATACTGTAACTGGCTCCTGGCCTGGAACCAGGAGTAACATTAGAGGTAGCAATGTAGGATGTACCTCCAACAGGAGTGGACTGCAGAGTTGAACTTCCAGTGTTAGTCCCTGTCCCCTGTGAAGGGAAAGGTGACAAATTTTAGAAGGTGGGCTTGTGGGCCTATTCTGGTTTTCTGGGGGATAAACAGGTTGCAGCTCAAAAATGTTGAGGACCACTGTGGTAGAGCAAGAAAACTATAACTTGTACATGTAAACACTGACAACTTCTTGGTCAGTTTTATTTGTTTATTTTATTTATTTAAGTTTTATTTGTCATATCTCTGTCGTCAGTAAAAAAAACCTTGCATCTCCAAAATGGTAACTTTACAGGAGAAGGAAAAAACAGTTTACTTTTAATGTAAGTCAGTGGAACCGGACTTTTTTCCAAGTAATTTTGGGCCGTGTCTTTTGTTCCATTGTTTATGAAATTTACACACAATATAAAGGCCAAAAGGTTTTCAAATTATGCAAAAAACTGAAAAATGGGGATACAAGGTTTTCTTCTGACAGCAGCGATATGTACAGTTTAACACGAGATCTGATCAGTGAAGTGACTGCCCTGGTAGTTGAATCTCTCTCAGTTGGTCTCGTCTTATCAAGAGCTCATCATCAATTTTGCTATAGAATCTGTTGTTCAAGGGTCCAGGTTCAACACAGTGGCAGCGTAAGAGGAGTTCAATAACAAAATTCATCCATGCTGTCAGCCATTAAAAGAAAAACCATGTTTTCGATACACTCTTTGGTTGCTTTAGAATCTATGCTCTCTAAGAAGTCCATTATAATTTAGAGTAATTTTTCATTCCGTGTATGAACGCGTTGTCTGCCATGCAGCTCTCCAGTGATGTGTCGGACTAATATTAAGGGCCTCTGCTGAGGGCCACGATCTGTTGAAACATGACTGCAAAAGACATGGATTGCTTCTCTTTCCCCTGTGGCTAATACTTTTAAGATCAATGAAACTGCTCAAGCATTCTTCTTTGAATAAACTCTAAAGACGTTAAAATAGCTGCCTGACTAAGGAGGAGAACCAAAGCACTGGATCAGTTTGGACGTGCTCTGAGAAACTGTGACGAGCTTTTGAAAAGGCTGGGAGATCAAACCAGAGAGGATGGAGAAGAAAAACTGTTACATGGGCTGCTTTTACTTGGATTAACCTGAGGTTTACATTCACAGAAACCGCTGGATTGTGGAGGCTAAAGTTCTAATGTGAAAAAGGACATTCTGAGCTAAACTAGACTTTTTTAGATTTTGTTTCTGAGGATGGAGCCAGGGCCAGACAAGGAGTGGGTAATAATGATAATAATAATGAGCTTAATTTCTACAGTGCCTCTCTCAAACTCCTCCTGTTACAATTCACACATGCACAACGTTACTCAGGTGGCAGGGAAAGAAACTCTGTCACCCGCAATGTAGTTTTATGGCTCTTCACCCAGTCAAACTCTGCTGTCACGGTGCAAAGTCCCTGGGTCAGGGCCTAGTCAAACTCTGCTGTCGTGGTGCAGAGTCCCCAGTTCACAGCCCAGTCAAGTTCTGCTTTTGAGGTGCAAAGTCTCCGGCTAACGGCCTAGTCAAACTCTGCTGTCGTAGTGCAAAGTTTTTCTAAGGTTTGATGAGTTGAAACAGACAAAAAAGAATCAGTGGTTCCACAGAATTGTTTGATTTTATTTTTTTTTCTTGCACTGCACTAAATGCAATTAAGCAGGACTAATTATACTGTCTTTGTAATGACACATGCAGTTGGTCACCCCCCTTGAAGTACTGTCAATATCCACACTATACTCAGAAAATTGTGATGTAATTTACCACTATAATTTTAAGTTATATTGCCCACCCGTAGGCTAGATGTAGAAGCTTTAAGCATGAATGGGATGCATGCTGCTCTTGTGGTTATACACAAAACTGGCATAAGAGCCTAAATGTGCAGTTTACAAGGAAGAACACAAAATACTGTCCTTCACATATTTGCTTTTTGGTGGAGGATTAGGTCAAATGTGGATGGATCAAACAAAACATGGATTTTGGAAGTGTGTCTAATTACGTATTCCATTTGATTTACTAAAGTTTAGGCAAATAGCAACAACCAGCCATAACAATCTATGTAAAAATACCACCACACGGCTCTTTCAGTGCGTTTCGGAGATCATCCAGTGTTGTGGAACCAACGACGAACGCTCTGAGCTGTTGGAGCTTCACTGCCCATGAAAATCACACTGCACAGTTATGACGGATTCACTCTTATTGAAGTGGAGAACGCGGAACGCTTTCTGCTCAGGGGTCTCCATCTCCTCTCAGACTGAGGGGAACCATCTTCCGGCGACGGTCAGAAACTCTAGGACCCCCTCTTTCAATTGGATTGTGATTGGTTCCTAGACGCCTCATGGTTGTAAAAATATGGCGCTTTGAAATCGGATGAATGTTTTTTGAATCACCCTGTATTTACTAAAAGCGACCCTAAAGGAAAACTGCATTCTTATGGCAGACTTTGTATGAAGTCCTCCACCGCTGCATTACGGGCCTACAAATTACAGCAATTCCTAACTTTAAGTTAATTTGGCAGAAATATCATATTCAGTTATCCTCATATTTGTTTGGTTTCAAAAATTCATTTTAATCACGCATACAGGCAGTCAATTATCGAGTTTTGATTATGTTTTAATTGATGCATCAGAAATCTCTCTGAGGACACCCACTTAGTACTGGCACAGACAGTGAAATTAGCATTGTTTTAATCGCTGATCACTGAACTCAAAAGAGGACCTATTATTTTTTAGTGGGATGCAATTGTATAAGAATGCCCTTAAGTGAAAATGACCTTTTTTGCTGCTCTTGGATGTTTTCCTCCCTCATCGAAATAACTTTGTACTGATAAGTCACAAAGCGTTTTGGCTGTGGCTCTCTGTGACATTCACAGCACTGCCAGTAATAAATAAACTAACTTTCGAAATTCAGATTCTTTGTTAATTACTTTTAAGAACTGTTGTTTCAAGCCTCAAATGACCTTCCTCTGCTGATAAATAATCCCCAGTTTTAGTTTTTATTAATAGCGTGAGGTCTAAGGTCCGTGTACATCTACATTTTCTCACAGTTGCTAAGCTAAATGGCAAGAGTTGGGTATTTTGAGCGCTTTGCACAAATAATCCCTGGTAAATTGTCAAGATAATTAAGAGGCTGCCTGTGTTGCTATGGCACAGCAACTTGTGCATCTGGCAGCTGATCACAGATTGAACAGGGGTCAGTGAAGACAGGCACACCTAAATGGACGCATGTGTCTTGCTTGCTAACTTGAATAGTGCTCACTGCAGGCTGTTTGTGTTTGCAGGACAGAATCCAGGTGGTTAATGGGGCGTTGTCCATCAGCAGTCTTACTCTGCCAGATACGGGAATGTACCAGTGTGTTGCAGAGAACCGATATGGCAGAGTTTTCGCCAACGCTGAACTGAGAATCATCGGTAAGAGCATGGTGCGCCTTGTCTTCAGTACTAAGATGAGATGGGAACTTGAGTTCTTAGCTGTGTGCATATAGGCAGTAATACAAGCAAGTCATCAGGCTACCGTAGATACAGTACTGTGCAAAAGTGAAAATGAAAGATTTTTAAACAAAAATAGTAACATTGAGTAGTAAAAAATAATAAAAATACATTTTATTTTTGTCTTTTAGCTTAATCATTTTAATATTGTTCCTCAGGGAAGCTCATTATTTACAGATACCAATTGTGTTTTTGTGTCTGATTATTGTTTTTTTGTATATGTATGCTTATTCTAGATGTGATGCCTGCGACATGTTACAAAAAGTTGGGACTGGGCTTGTTTACCACTGTGTTAAATCACCTTTCCTTTTATTGCTGTTCAGTATTTGGGAACTGAGGACACCTACTATTGTAGTTGTAAAAATAATAGGATTTCCTCCTGCTCTTCCTTGCTGGGCTCTCCTTTGTTTTATATTGCACTTCATAATGTGCCACACGTTTTCAATGGGAGACAAATCTGGACACATGTCCACTTTGTTGCCAGTCTATCTCAGATGAGTTTTACCCAGAGAAGTGGGCAGCAATTCTGGATGTTGTTGATATATGGCTTCCTCTTTATGTAGTAGAGGCTTAGCCTGCATTTGTAGGTGCAGCGATGAACTGAGTGAAACCTTTGTCAGTAAACAATATATTTTATAATATTTATTTGGCATTTGTCTCTTTGTCATTTAAATCATATATTTTATAGTCATGTATAGATTATTGCAGTTAAAATTACAGAAAAACATGTTTTCTACTTCAAAATATGGCCTCACCTTATACACATGACTGTGAGGACGAGCACATTTCTATATGATCGATTTAAAAACCAATATTGCTGAATTGAGGCTCGAGAACGAGTAATTGTTAAAATAACTTAGTTTTATTTTAAAGTGTAAATAAATTGTAACCCCAACATGTTTTCAAGTGTAATATATCTGTAAACTCTAGGGACACAAAAATGGTAATTTCCATAGAATGACTCTAATACAAAGAGGCCCATCAATATTTCATGATTAGTTATTGATTTTTAAGCCCAGTGTTAGACTAATAGATTATCAAAATGCATTTTTGTGTTAGTTTGCAAGATGGCATAGTTTCTTTCTGATGAGACCAAGGTTTCTGTCAAGGGTGTTATTGTTAGGAATGCTCGAATAGTGCAGTGGATAACATGCTCACCCCCCACACAAGAAACGGGGTTCCATCCCCTGCTCAGTTGGGAATTAGAAACGCCATTAAAATATACCATCAAGAGCCTTTAGGCAAGACTCGTAAAAAAGTAATAAAGTACAATATATTGAATTATATCATTGCAATACTTAATATACCACAAAACCTGAAATATTGCTGTAGAATTGTATCATGGCTCAAGTGTGGTGATATCTTACTGTGGAGGCTGTAGCGATTCCCATCTCTACACAAGTAAAGCTCAGTGTCACTTAAAAGCAGGCCTGCCCAGCCTTGATCCTGCCATTCAAAACTCTTTCAGACTTCATTTCCAACACAAGCTAATCAAAACTGTCATGCACATCTGAAAATAATGACCTTGAGTATTGAATTTGGTTAGAATTAAACTCTGCAGGAGGCCAGCAGCCTGAAAAACACTTTGCAGTCTAAAAAAAATCAGCACACTATGTGCAGGATAACTTTTGACACTACAAAAGATCAAACCTATCGTTGTCTTTCAGATTAAAGGCACTGAATTTCTGCTCCTTTTAAATATGCCGAGCTTAGTGCTAATTAAAGGAATGAAGCCTGTTCCTTAGTGCCATCATTTCCCAGCATAATGGTAGCTTTGAAGGGCTCTGCTCCGCAGCAAGAGCCAGGATAAATCTTGCATGCTGAAATTGTCGTGTGGCAATGACAGTTCTCCGCTTCACACTCTTTACACATTTTAAATGTGTGTGAGCAGCCCGGTTTGGTGGAGTGCATCTAAAAGGGGAGAGAGAGGCCGTCTTCAGTGAGTGTGTCTCACAAATTGCATCCTTATGTGTGTTTGTGAGAAGGGGATCAGCAGGAGAAGCTTTTCATTAGATGTGACTGCCAGACGTCTGTCCAAGCCCTTGCGATAGTGATTTCAGTGATTCCGTGATCATGAGTATCTGTTTCTGTCTTTCTTACTGTCTCTCTCGCTCTCAGCTGTGGCTCCAGATTTCTCAGACAGCATGCTGAAAGCGCAGACGTTGGCCCGGCAGGGTGGGGATGTGCTGATCGAGTGCAGGCCCCGGATGTCCCCTCGTGGAATGATCTCCTGGAGGAAAGGCAAAGAGGCCCTGAGAGAGAGCCACAGGTAACAAGGCAGCCTTGTCTTTTTACCTGGCCTGGATCTGACATTCAAAGATAATGAGACAGCCATGTCATGGTGCTATCAAAACCTTGTGACTCCTTTTTATTTTATTTTATTTTTTTTTTACACCTTACTGTAGATCAGTGGTGTCAAACTTAACCAATAAAAGTGCCTTATTAAAAAAATCTCAACAAAGTTGTAGCCAGAGACCATTTATATTTTAAAATGCCTAAACGTCAACAGCGAAATACACCGATCAGGTGTAACATTATGACCACCTCCTTGTTTCTGCGCTCATTGTTCATTTTATCAGCTCCACTTACTATATAGGTGCACTTTGTAGTTCTACAGTTACAGACTGTAGTCCATCTGTTTCTCTGATACTTTGTTAGCCCCCTTTTACCCTGTTCTTCAGTGGTCAGGACCCCCATGGACCCTCACAGAGCAGGTACTATTTGGGTGGTGGATCATTCTCAGCACTGCAGTAACACTGACGTGGTGGTGGTGTGTTAGTGTGTGTTGTGTTGGTAAGAGTGGATCAGACACAGCAGTGTACAGTGACATAGCACATTATGACAGCTGACTTTGTAGCTCAGTGTATTTTTAGTATGCCAAACACATAACGGTGATTACGTTGTGCAGCTTGACAAGTGAGACTGGCTGCAAAATCAAACAAAGGTGTGTACGTCTAAACGACTCTGACATGTTGTGGTAACATTGAAATGAAAATCTACTGTGTTGTAGTTATATTGTGAATGTTTTAATACTGATATTATGTTATGACAGAGTTATATATACTTTCTCTGGCTCTTAAGTAAAGTAAGTTACTTTAGTAAAGTGTTATATTTGTGTTGATAAGATCTTTATGAAGTATTTTCTCTGGCCCTTAAGTAAAGAGAGAATTATATCTGTGTTCATAAGATCTTTATGAAGCCCTATGGCAGTGCCATGATACTGTAATGACAAAGTTAGGTGTATTTTCTCTGGCCCTTAAGTAAAGAGAGTATCATATTTATTCTGTAAGGCCTTTTTAATGCCTTATGGCAATGCCAGGACACTGTACTGACAAAGTTATGTATATTTTCTCTAGCCCTTAAGCTGTTTTTAAGATGCTATTAATTTTAGTGTTTGTGTCAACACACTGAAATGAGTTCTGTGTTTTATTTTAAATGGCTCTTAAGTAAAATAAGAGTTTGTGAAATAATTTTTTTTCTGAATGCTGCTTCCTAAAGTCACATCTTTCCTGTCTCTTTTGGTTGTGTTCACATTTTTTCCAGTTAGAAATTTTGTCAGGATTAAAACGTCCAGTGTAGTATTAAGAGCTGCATGTAATTACACACTGTTAGAAGAGACGGACTGTAAAATGGACATAATGGCGCTTCAAAAGTCAGCTGTCATAACGTGCTATGCAGATTTACCTCGGTAACCTCAATTTGTCATGACGCATTCTAATGTCAACAAAAAACTTACTTCATTTAGGTGTTATGTGAACTAGACATTGAATTCCCAAAAACAGCCTTTTATGATGGCTGCCACTTATTGGAATAAGCCTTTATAGATGTTTATCCCTTTAATGTTCTGCATCACTATATATGCCACAAAGTGCCATCTCGACCGTTTGGTGGACGTGAATATTTTAAAAGTTGTGGGATTTGAAGAACGAAAAAAAACTACCAATTGTTTTTATTATTGCCCCAAACAAAAAAAATACAAAAAAAATTCTATTGCTTTTTTCTTGGTGAGGACATTAAAGGCTTAAGTAGGTTTATATAGTTATGAAAGGTTTATGTACTTGTCATGTAGCATTATAAGCATGACCTACAGAAAAGTGTCACCTTAATTGTTTTACACCGTTTGAACACTCATTACATTGTGGCAACATATTATGATGAATTGACCAATAGAAATGGTCCAAAATTACTTTATAAAATCTCGTTACATTAACATACAGCTAAGATTTTTCTTCTCTTTTATAGTTCATGTAGTCTTACAACGCTCCATTTCAAAGGCGCAAGGTTTTTTACAAGAGCAACAATGTGATCCATGCTGGCTTAGAGGTTAAAAGCGTTGTCTGGGCAAGAATACTTAATGTGACTGACAAATTGAGCTTAGCAGTGAATAAAAGGTTGAAGAACCTGCTAATCCCTTACTTTCATTCCCTGCTAGCCTTTACAGTATAGATGAATGTGGGCTCATTATTTGGCAAACAAATAAGTCACTGTTGCTCTTCTTACTTATATTTTATAACTGAATGAGAGTGACTGGTTCAACGTATAGACTTGTCACTACAGCTTGCTTTAATGACTCCAGCTTTGTTATGTTAAACCTGTGCTTAACCCACCTAATAGGGGTTCTGTATCAAATGTCTGCGGTGAATTTATAACAGCATTATTCACCAACTTCACTTTATGTATTTTATGCTGTCTGGGAGCTCTAATGTATCCTAAGTCACTCCAAAGCTACTATTATGTAAAATAGTCTATTTTTTCTATTTATGCCAAAAAGCTTAAGGAATAATCCTAAAGTCAAGGTTTTGGTCATGAATATTTTATGTTTGCCTTTCTTTTGAAATAGTAGCCATTTATTCGAGGGCCTTCAAGAGCACACTCTCATATTAAGTCACTCAAGACATAAAAAGAAGGAGAGTGTAGGTGTTAATAAGATGAGTTTGAGTGCCTGGGTGGCATCATGGCATCATAAGAAATCACTTAATGACAACTGCAGATGAGCTACAGCACTAAACATCCACCCACCATGAGGATCCAGATGGAAACTAAGGGGGCTGACACACATGTTCCGTTAACTTCTGAAAGACAGAGAAAGAAGACAATTTGTTATGCAGTCGTCAGTATTTCGCCTTCTAACGCTGTAAAACTTGGGCCATTTTCTCAGCAGGGTGAGCATATCTGAAGGAAGAGGACTGTCAAGATTACAAAAGCTAATGCTGATGCTGTTTGGAAATCTTAATTAAATACTTGCAGTGCAACAATAGTCTTGCTCAATACGTCTGTCTTCTGATGATCGATGATCAACGCTTCAAGCAGTTATCTATTTGTTCTCCTTGTGACTCATGCCTTCCCAGAATCAGGAGCCTTTACATGAAAAGATAATTCAGCTATTTTTAATTTTTTTTTGTTGTTGTTCTAATCTTCCCTCTCCTTTGTTGAAGTGTGAAGAGATCCACCGTCTCAAGTAATTGTGTTTTCTGAAATCAATGCATGTCAATTGCCGTGTCTATGAAAAGTTCACATGAGAGATTTTCATTTTAATCACCAAGACGTGTTTCTTAAACAGTGGAATCGGCACCTGGGAAACGTGCTAAGTCGCCACTGAGCGTGAGTGAGCACATAGAGATTTGTCACCAGGCGAATCCTTCCCTGCAGCAGCACAGTGCAATGAAACAGTTGTATAATTGAAAGGTCATGGTGGGAATTAAGCAGATCCCATGCTATGCTCTTAAAAGTTATTTTTATTCCAGTACGCCTGACACTGTCACTTTACAGTCCTGCTGTACCCTCTGCTCTACCTGGCTTATGTTGTAGGAGAATGTGAGTGGCTTTTTAATCTCCTGCGCAGATATAACGTTGAAGCTTGAGCCCGTCCCATATCTGCGGCTTTGAAACCTGACCCAGTGAGGCCTGACTAGTATCACTACGTTTGAAACCCGAACCAGACCCAAACCCGCTCACATGCAGTAGCAGAAGGATTATCGGATGTGGTTTTACAATGCTTCCTTTGTTACTAAACTCTTGAAAAAAATGCCATGCAGGGATAACCTGGTATTTTACCAGAGCTGGCCAGAGTACTTGGAAGAAGTAGTGATAGCCAAATACTGAATACACTGTCCTACACGTATTTAGTAATATATTCCATTACATTACATAAAAAGTGACATATTCAGAATATGTTTAGAATATATTCAGTATACACCTAAATGTATACTAAATGTGACTATAAAGTAGATAGCTATGTAATTTGCCTTGAAACACGCGTATGAGTTCAGTACAACACCAGTGCTAAGCTTATCACTCGTGAACGTTTGTTCAGTTGCCCACGCCCCAGTCACCGCCACTTGCCCAGCTACCGCCACCTGCCTTGGACTAGCTGCCCACCCTACACTGAAGTGGACTCCTAACTATTACTACTACTACTACTATTAATATTAGCAGTATAATAATTTTGTAGGTAGTGTGACCAGAGGAGGATGGGTCCCCCCTTGTGAGCCTTGGTTCCTCCCAAGGTTTCTTCCCCAGCTCTGAGGGAGTTTTTCCTTGCCACTGTTGCCCCTGGCTTGCTCACCTGGAGGATTTACATTTCATGTTAAAACTTTGTCCTTAATGGATTTCTGTGAAGCTGCTTTGTGACATCAGTTGTAAAAAGCGCTGTACAAATAAATTTGACTTGACTTCAGTTCCGTCGTCCCTCGAAATAAATGAGTAAGAGGTGAATAGGTAGTTTATCACATTGATTTTTCGGTCTGCTCAGGCTTTACTGGGAACTTTGTTGTTTGTAAAGCCATTTTTCGAGTTCTTAGAGTTTAGAGTTAGTATTTGCATGCCATGTGCTTATTTTAAAATAGTTAAAAAAACAAGCATTGTTGATGTTTCTTTTAAACACAGCTGCGCTATAATTTATATTGCTACTGCGGCTACATGGAAGAATGTGCAGGAAACTTCCGGTGAACTTAACAAGTGAGGAGAGATCTTTTTTTACCTTTCTACCAACTCAACACATCCTTCTCATCGTCTGTGGTTTCATTCAGAAGCGCATTCACCCACATCTCAAACTCCACAGCTAACCATATGAGAGAGCGAATGAGTAACTGTGCAACAGTGCACAAAATCTGCAACCTAAAAAAAGGACTTATTAGAAAACGAGAGCTCTGTACATAAAAATCGCCCTGAACTCTGCCCGAGTCCTGGTATTTTCTTGGGTCCAGTGGCCAACATCATCTCCAGATGGTTCAGATTAGGTAATAGATTGCAAATGTAGAAAAAGATGGAATCTAGTACTGACTGCTATGGTGCTATCTTACAGAATAAAGCTATTTCACAGCTTTATTTAAATTGTGGAAGATATAATTGTTGCTCTAGGGAATGGTAGAATAACCTAAGGAGACTTGCTTTCAGTTTTTCAAAGAAATCTGCAGATACGTTTTTTCCACACCTCCAAAATTCAGTCTTAGAAGTTGCATTTTCTGCTTCTCACAATCCAAGTGGTTCCAAACACAGTCACTGATGGTTTGTTCTGAGGACACAAGCAGCTTTTCTCAGGGAGGCTTCTTGATAACTAAACATCCTTTCAGACCTATTGTGCTGAGCTGCTGTTGTCTCACAGTGGAAGGATGTACACCTGTGTATTTTTTCAGATCAGAAGCAGATGTAGATCTTGATTTTCTTCTCCCTCTCAAAGATGAAAGCTTTAAGTACTGTTTATCAGATGGTGTCAGGTTTGGTGGTCTAAGAGGCCTTGTACAGATGTTTTCTCTACATTTTTTTCTGTATTTTACAAAAACATTTTGGATTTCAGTTTTGGAAATCCAGTTTATTTGCTTAATTTACTTTGACTTTCCTCTTTTAAATGAAAGTGAATTATCTTATATCTAATCTCAATGAGTGAATGAAAATGAATAACTTGTAATTAATGCCATTTTGGCTGGAAATTATATTATTAAAGGGTGGTTTTGGACTCCTAAATGGTACTGTAGGTACTGACTGGAGCCCATCTATTAGCCCTCCTTTACCTAACCCCCAAGTGTGTGGATGGGCAATTCTAAGTAGAGTTTTTAAACACCTCAGTGTCACTGCTGGACTGAGAATAGTCCACCAACTAAAAATATCTAGCCGACAGCGTCCTGTGACCACTGATGAAGGACTAGAGGATGACCAACACAAACTGTGCAGCAGCAGATGAGCCATTGTCTCTATTGTAAAGTCTATTGTCTGACTTTACATCTACAAGGTGGACTGACAAGGTAGGACTGTCTAATAGAGTGGACAGTGAGTGGACACAGTGTTTAAAAACTCCAGCAGCACTGCTGTGTCTGATCCACTCGTACCAGCGCAACACACACTAACACACCGCCACCACATCAGTGTTAGTGCAGTGCTGAGAATGATCCACCACCCAAATAGTACCTGCTCTGTGAGGGTCCATGGGGGTCCTGACCACTGAAGAACAGGGTAAAAGGGGGCTAACAAAGTATGCAGAGAAACAGATGGACTACAGTCTGTAACTGTAGAACTACAAAGTGCACCTATATAGTAAGTGGAGCTGATAAAATGGACAATGAGCGTAGAAACAAGGAGGTGGTCATAATGTTATGCCTGATCAGTGTACAGTGCAGCGCTGTTGTCAGTAATTGTATACATGCACAGTGCATCTGTATGGCTGGTGTGCCTTATATAATGGCCTGAGTGTAGGTACAAGGTATGTATACCTAACGAACTGCCGAAACAATATATTTAACTTTGCTGATGTGTAATTAAAACAGTCTGGTCTGAGCTGCTGTCTGGTTAAAACTGACACTGTAAACTAGACACTGGCGTTGACATCATTAATAGTGTGAATGATCTCAGGGATAGCTGACCATTAATCCAATTTAAATGACCAATTCAAATTTAGCAGTGGCTGGCTTGAGCTTTATTTAGAATGATAAAATTGTAATGCTATCTATAGTAAACATTTTTTCTTTTCTTTTCTTATGATTTCCAGAGTTTCTGTTTTGGATAACGGGAGTCTCCGAATATCAAACATTACCAAACTGGACGCAGGCCTTTATACATGTGTGGCCAGGAATCAGTTTGGAGTGGCAAGCAGTGCTGGGGCTCTAGTTGTAAAAGGTAAGAAGTGAAACTTAAATGGCAGCTTTGGTTTTTATCATATGGATTTACCCAACCAAATCAATGTATGATCTGTGGATGTTTTGCATGAGAATAAGCATCCTCAGTTTGAGTAAGTCCAGTATACAATCTCTTAGAGAGTTCTTAGCCCCTTTCTGAAAGAGCCGAGTCAACAATACCAGTGTGCTATTAAAATGCGGTTTGCTGATGCTCCTGGTTTTTGAATTGCAAATTGAAAGCATGCATATTTTCTTATTTTCCGTTGACTTAACAGGAGTGTGTTTGTTCTTTTAACATTATGAAATCAATTTTCATTAAGTTAGCTCATCACTATTCAAATATAATCATGAAATGCCATTTACCTTTTTAAGCATATTCAGTGTGTTGCAAATTATTTCATACAGGAGTTTTTTATTTTTCTCCAACAATTATTTTTAGAATTTTGCTTGGTGATAAAACTGCACTTTTTCCCCCCTGTTCAGTTTGTAGTTTAGATTCTGGTACACAAACAACTAGCAGACATGAAGAATAAAAGGTCACCTAACGGCATATTGTCTATTTTATTTGCTTGTTTTGGAGATGGTTGGTATAAATAGCATTTTGAAACCTTAATATTTTAGGTCTGAATCACGTGTCATTGCATGGGTTGTGATACATACCATGCAGTCACAGTGCCTGATCTAACACAGTAAGATGCAAAAGCAGAAGAAAAAATATAAGTTTAGCTTGTTTGTGTTTAGAGTTGCCTGTCACATCCTTGAGCGGGTACAAGGGTACAAGACCATGAATGCACAGTGGCATCTAGTGGTATCGGCCTTGTAGTGCACAACACAGTACACAGAACCCATGCACTTGCATTTAATCTTAAATTAAACATGTTATTATGCCTCTTTTGAAGAACTGGAAGTACAGTTGTAGTTTATGAGGTAATCACCTTATTAATTTTAAATTAAGTCAAGGATTTTGATGTAGACTTACTATAGAGATACTATAGAGATAAAAGAATATAAAACTCTTATACTGAGTACGATCTTGTTGTTGAACAAGAGGGGTTTCTTGTATGTATGTATGCTCTCTCTGTCTGATTGCAGGAATTGTCTTAGTGTGTGACATGCTTGCAAACCAATTTTCCCCTTGGAAGGAGGGCTGGGCGATATGGCCAAAAATGTTATCAAGATAAAAAATTTCATATCAGTTGATATCGATACATATCATGAAACATGTCAAATCGTTATTTCTTTCAAGTTTGAAGGCTGATTTTTGCTCCTGAGTGGTTAACTGCTGTTTTAAACTATCCTTTATGGTCAGAACATGACAAACACTCACCTAACAGTGGAACATTTCACAAATCTGTCCATGGATAGTGGGAGAAAGTTTCTGGTGAGCTGTTTTTACCAGCTGGAAAAGCAATTTTTTTAATAGTCATAATTTAAGAAAGAAAACATTATTTTAGCTGTCTGGTGACGAGCGCTAAACTGTTCAGTTTATCAGCAATGTCAGCTTAATACGAACAGCAAACATTAGCTGGCTCGGTAGGTCAATGAGGGATCACACTGCCTTACCGCCATCACTCCTACCACATCAATGTCAGAGAACAGCACAGTATTCAAACACCGGCTAGGAGACGACTGGATTCCTCTATGCTATCGTAGTAGTTTGAGGGCTGAACCGCAGTATATCTGATGCTCGCTGTGTAAAAGCATTAACTGCAGTGTGAATCTCTCACACCAGACAAACAGAGTCCTCCTTTTAGGTACATTTAAACTGAAATCACTGCTTTTTTTGTCTTGTTTGATCTATAGTAACATCAGTTCTCTGTGCTGTGTGAGTGACAGAGCGCTGCTTCAAGTTAGCCAGCTGCTAAAACAGCTAGCCTAGGTAGCTAGCGTTCTCTCACTCTCCAATGCCTCACATACAGCATCATCAATTTACCTTCGTTTAAATCAGTGCAGTGCGCTTTCTTTCACTTCTGTTGCTTGGGAATGCACTAATACTAAAATATGACTGAGCGCTGTAACAGTGCTGTAGTTGTGAGGAACAGACGTGATTTAACGCTGCTGAAGCTGGTCAGGATGTAGGAAGGAGGTGAGTTCACTGTAAGACAGTATAGTTGCGCCACTGGTCTAGTAACTCACACTTGGTCACAGGAGAACAGATCACCGATCACTCCACTCAAACAGGGAATATATAACCCCACGTTTCGGACGTTGCTAAAGTATATATTTGGCAACTCATTTCATTCCTTCCCTAGAAAATGTCACCAGGGCTGTCGCTAGAACATGGAAGTGTGAGAATGGTCTATTATATCAAACATTTATCAAACATTTCTTAGTTCTATTGAGGAAAAATAAATTGTGATAATTATCGTTATCGTTTTATTGCCCCAGCCCTTCTTGGGAGATAATAAAGAATGAAATAAAAGGATTTGAACCCTTATAAAGTGAATCCTATCTTTTTACCCCTTCTATTCCAGAACCCACCATTATCACCACTAAGGCAGCCCAGCTGGATGTAACAGTGGGGGAAAGTGTTGTTCTTCCTTGCCAGGTTTCTCGTGATCCTTCTCTCGATGTTCGGTTCACCTGGTTCTTTAACGAGCAGTTGATCAGTTTTGGAAGCCAAGATGGGTATTTTGAAAAAGTTGGTGGGGTAAGTACAGAACGTAATGACAAACCTTTAATGACTATCAGTAAATAATTCCACTTCATAACAGCTGTCAGTTCTCCCTTATGATTTGGTGATATGACAAAATTATAAAGATACTCAGACACATTTTTCATAATATGTATTACGATATTTGGGTCATTCTACAGAAACGTCCACTTTTCTATCTGTCCATAGGAGTCACTGGTGTTACTGATCCTCATTGGTGTTACACATAATAAAGGGAACACCAGAGACATTTTTAATGAACAATGCATTTTACTAAATGGCTGCTGCAGAGCATCAAACCACATGTTGTCAATCATGGAATATCCACTAAAATATGTTATTTAATCCATTTGTATTCTATTTTTTCACAATGACCTCAGAATAAAGTCGGTCACACCAGTGACTTCAGCTAAAAGCTTCATATGAAATCATGAGCTAAATGAGAAAATCTCAGATAACTGAAAGACACAGTGGACTCACCATGTGCTTTTCTTCATAGATCCTCAGAAAATAGGTAATAGGAAGTCAAGTGATGTCATCAGTGTGATTTTGTTACACAGTAAATATAACCTTCGTTATATATTTTACAATATTTATTTGTTTTCTTTGTCATTTAATCTATATATTCCATAGTCATGTGTAGATTATTGTAGTTAAAATTGCATAAAAACATGTTTTCAAAATATGGCCTCAGCCTTCACACATGACTGTGAGGACGAGCTCTTCTGTGGTGCTTGGAATTCTAGATAATTAATTTAAAAACCAATATTGCTAAATTGAGGCTCAAGAAGGTGTTATTGTTAAAATAACTAATTGTTTTATTTTAAAATATAAATAAATTGTAACCCTAACATGTTTTTTTAAGTGTAATATATCTGTAAAAGCTAAGGACACAGAATTGGACATTTCTGTAGAACGACCCATTTAGTGTTTCTGCAGTTTGTGAACAAATTGAAATGAAGAAAAAGAACCAGAAAAAACAACAGTGCCAGGTTTAAAACAGGCTAAAAATGATTTGCGTACTATCATTTTCTTTAACTTGACATTTTCTGTAATTAACCATTTAAGAATGAACAGGAAGAAAAAATTGTTAATAAAATAACTGCATCATGGGCTTTTTTTTAAGACACATGCAGTTCTTCAGTGTTCCAGAAATACTGACACTATCCATCATACACTCAGAGAAACGTGTCATTTCATCATTTATCATGATAAAGATGACATTGTCATATTTCCCTTCCCTGGACATGAGAACTGTAACAGAATGTTAATTATGTGTGCTTACAGAGATTTGCTGGTGATATCATGATCCGTAATATTCAGTTAAGACATGCAGGGAGATACACCTGTGCAGTTCAAACAAACGTGGACAGTGCGTCAATAGCCACAGATGTGGTCGTCAGAGGTAAAGTCAGATTTGTCTGTGCAATCTAAACAGTTTTGACAACTTCTAATAGAGCTGATAGATACAGTTTTAGATATCTGCTTGCATGCTGCTCTTGGATGTGCGTGATACAGTCCTGCTCCCGCAGGTGCTCCTGGTCCACCACTGGACATCCAGGTAGACCATGTTACAGAATCTACAGCTTTTGTGTCGTGGAGTCCAGGACCTGATAACCACAGCCCACTCTCTAAGTATGCAGTCCAGGCCCGAACCCCCTTCTCTCTGGGTTGGCAGGCTGTTCAAACAGGTATATGTCCTTTTGTTATCTCTGATTTTAGTTAATTATCTTCTTGCTGTAACATTACATGCTTTAGCCTTGTGATATTAGGAAATGTGCTTTTGGCTTAGACACGTACACCAATCAGGCATAACATTATGACCACCTCCTTGTTTCTACGCTCACTGTCCATTTTATCAGCTCCACTTACTATATAGGTGCACTTTGTAGTTCTACAGTTACAGACTGTAGTCCATCAGTTTCTCTGCATGCTTTGTTAGCCCCCTTTTACCCTGTTCTTCAGTGGTCAGGACCCCCATGGACCCTCACAGAGCAGGTATTACTTGGGTGGTGGATCATTCTCAGCACTGCAGTAACACTGACGTGATGGTGGTGTTAGTGTGTGTTGTGCTGGTAAGAGTGGATCAGACACAGCAGTGCTGCTGGAGTGTCCACTCTGTCCTCTCTGTGTACTCCTACCTTGTCAGTCCACCTTGTAAATGTAAAGTCAGAGACAATAGCTCATCTGCTGCTGCACAGTTTGTGTTGGTCATCCTCTAGTCCTTCATCAGTGGTCACAGGACGCTGCCCACAGTGACACTGAGGTGTTTAAAAACTCCAGCAGCACTGCTGTGTCTGATCCACTCAGACCAGCACAACACACACTAACACACCACCACCACGTCAGTGTTACTGCAGTGCTGAGAATGATCCACCACCCAAACAGTACCTGCTCTGTGAGGGTCCATGGGGGTCCTGACCACTGAAGAACAGGGTAAAAGGGGGCTAACAAAGTATGCAGAGAAACAGATGGACTACAGTCTGTAACTGTAGAACTACAAAGTGCACCTATGTAGTAAGTGGAGCTGATAAAATGGACAATGAGCGTAGAAACGAGGAGGTGGTCATAACGTTATGCCTGATCGGTGTACAGCTATGCAGTAATGCTGCTTAATGCTACAAATGTTATGTTAGATCATTTTGAAAGTTTTAGGGATGGAAATGATTAACTGATTAACTGTTAATCGACGAATAAACAATTGACCAATGATGCTGGTGTAAAAGAAAATAAAATTTTATTTAATTTCTAATGAACAGTTCCTTGAATAGGTGGGTTCATTCAAATTGAAGAGTTTGTATTGTTTTGAATTGCACACATGAAGGCACAATAGGTAACTGCTTCTGCTAGATAGCCATACTAAATAATGGTGTTCACTTTTTGGGAGGATAACACAGCTACAACGATGTACCATATCAAAAGCGAACAACTGACAACACACATCAATTTCATCCATGTTTTCTGAGAGAAGTAGTGATGTGAGGAAATCAAACATGGGTGTGCAAAATTAGAAGGACATGGTGAACGGTGATGGCTTTTGAGAGCCACTGAGCCAAAGCTAGCCCCCGGTCATGCCGTTTGGGTTTGTAATGAGTGGTAAATATAACTTTAGAACTTCAGAATATAGAATTTTCCGTAGCACATCTTTATATGTTTGTCATTTAGTCAACTTTTTAGAATTTAGTCATATAATTAATCATGAACATATTGTAATTATCAGCCCCTCAGTCTAAATAAAACCATGCTAATGCATTTTTAGTAAGTTATACTTCAGATGCGGCAGCTTTAAGTTCCTTTCTACAATTAAAACAATCAGTGGTCTGATTATTACAGCACAACACTTTTTGACCCTTATGTGGTGTTGGTGTGTTTGTTACTCAGTGGTCTGGTGCCCAATGCATTATTGTTTTTTTTAATAATACAGCCATAACAGTTTATGTAAAAATACCAGATGTTTAAAATACCACAAGTGTCCAGTGTAGGGTTCTCCTTTAGCAGCTGTAGCCAGTCAGCAACCTGTCCATGTTGTCCACCCTCACACACACACACACACATATATACAAACACACACACACACACTAACAGCAGGCCATGTAGGAGGAGAACAGAGTGAAGGACACAGCACCTCCACACTTTTACTCCCCGCGGGTTCACCCAACACCACATGTGTAATATAAATGTGTGGGGGGTGAACAGAGTGAAGACACTGAAAATGGGTTATTTTATATGTTCTTCACTAAAAATGAGCAAAGGCCAAGAATCTGAGGCTGAAATATAAATAAATTGCATAATTTTTTCTTTTGATAAAGACTGAAAATGGGTCACACAGACACAAGGGTTAAATTCTTTTTCAGTCAGAGTGATGCTGTACAGAACATGGAAAAACAAATCTGATCTTGACAGAATTATTGGCCAGATGTTTTTTTATGAATCTCTGTTAGACTAGATTTCCCATATGAGAGTTTTCCTCCAAAACTGTGACAACACTATTTTATTTGGGTAAATCATATGAGTGAACACCTACATGTATATCAAGTACAATACTTTGAACACGGCCCAGACAATCAGACTTCAGTAACAGAGCTGTCCATTTGATAATCAGTATTTTGATAGGTTGCCTCCTATGGTGGAGTCATTCCTAGGCTTAAGTAGCCAGTGCTTTGGCCCTCATTCCAGTTTTCTTGTCTTTGTTATTCAAGAAGGTTATTATTTCTACTGAATGCCAAAAGTTGTACTTATTCTTTAGTTCCAGAGATTCTTGGAAGAAACCAGTTGGCTGCTCGTGTGACAGACTTGAGTCCGTGGGTGGAGTATGAGTTCAGAGTGCTGGCCACCAACGCCATTGGCACAGGAGAACCCAGCAAGCCTTCCAGAAAAATCCGCACCAAAGACACACGTATGCATAGCATTCAGTGAATTCTGATTTCTTAACCTATCTGCCTCTTTCGAGTTAACCCCTTATATAAAGTTTATTACACACTTCTATAACCTAAGAGTAGCTCAACCAGTTTGCATTGAAGTCCCTGTATTTATTGAATAATAAGCCTTAGTATTTAATAAGCCTGGGATTTTAAAGGGTTAAGGATACAAATTAGAATTAATTTGAAACTAGAAATTGCATGATGTTATATTGTTAGATTGAAGCAATTAAGCATTTCATTGTTCTTAAAAAAAGTGCAACTTCCACTTTGTGCTCCTCACTCAAAATTATAAACTCAGATAATCAAACAAATCAGGATTATATATTATATATTTGGCAGCCCAAATATTTATTTGTATTATATGTCAGAATTGAAGGCTCAGCTTTGTTATTAATCTGGAAAGTAGAAGTCAGGAAGTTCTTTCTAATACATCGATGAGGCATAACGTTATGACCACCTCCTTGTTTCTACACTCATTGTCCATTTTATCAGCTCCACTTACTATATAGGTGCACTTTGTAGTTCTACAGTTTCAGACTGTAGTCCATCTGTTTCTCTGATACTTTGTTAGCCCCCTTTTACCCTGTTCTTCAGTGGTCACGACCCCCATGGACCCTCACAGAGCAGGTACTATTTGGGTGGTGGATCATTCTCAGCATTGCAGTAACACTGACATGGTGGTGGTTTGTTAGTGTGTGTTGTGCTGGTACGAGTGGATCAAACACAGCAGTGCTGCTGGAGTTTTTAAACACTGTGTCCACTCACTGTCCACTCTATTAGACACTCCTACCTTGTCAGTCCACCTTGTAGATGTAAAGTCAGAGACAATAGCTCATCTGCTGCTGCACAGTTTGTGTTGGTCATCCTCTAGTCCTTCATCAGTGGTCACAGGACAATGCTGGCTGGATATTTTTGGCTGGTGGACTATTCTCAGTCCAGCAGTGACACTGAGGTGTTTAAAAACTTCCACCAACCAAATAGAACCTGCTCTGTGAGGGTCCATGGGGGTCCTGACCACTGAATAACAGGGTAAAAGGGGGCTAACAAAGTATGCAGAGAAACAGATGGACTACAGTCTGTAACTGTAGAACTACAAAGTGCACCTATATAGTAAGTGGAGCTGATAAAATGGACAATGAGCATAGAAACAAGGAGGTGGTCATAATATTATGCTTGGTCGGTGTATGTGCCAACTGGAAGGGAAAGTACAAAAGACCCTTTACCATTCAAATTACATTAAGGAAATGTCTTTATTTTTTTTTTTAAACCCCAGTGCCAAGGATAACCCCGGCCCGAGTAGGCGGAGGTGGCGGAAGTCGCTCTGAGCTAGTCATCACTTGGGAGGTAAACTGTGACAGCTGGCTTTCCTTCCCAGCTTTATGATGCAGAGTTAACTGTCAGTAGTGGGTTTGCGTGGCAGAGCGCATCAAAACGGGCCTTTCATGTTGTCGCTGATTTTGATGTGCTTACTTTAGAGAGTTTGAAAGGGAACCTTTGAACGTATGAGTCAGTAAGACAAATATAGCCATAGTGTGCTTCAGTGTGCTTCTTGTCTTGAGTAGGGTGCTGCTCTTTTCATAAGCAACTCTTTGTTGGATCTAACCTTTTTGGGTGTGGGTGGGTTTCCTAGCCGGTCCCAGAAGAGATGCAGAGTGGTCCAGGCTTTGGTTATGTTGTAGCGTTTCGTCCCCATGGCGCTCAGAGCTGGATGCAGGCGGCCGTTACCTCACCAGACGCCTCTCGATACATCTTTAAGAACGAGAGCATCCCTCCGTTCTCACCATTCTACGTGAAGGTGGGAGTTTACAACAACAGAGGAGAGGGGCCTTTTGGACCTGTAACGACAATCTATTCAGCAGAAGAAGGTATAAAGAACTCTGCAAAGTATTCAAGCATTCATGTCCTTAGCTTTGATGAAGGCACTATCTTAAAATCCTAGTAATTCAATGAGGTTGTAATTTTCTTGTTTTGTTGCTAGTGGGTGGTCTAGCAGGAGAAATGATAATGCCTTGTTGTAATGCTTATTCCATGCTCTAGAGCCAAGTCGAGCTCCCACTAGAGTCCGTGCCAAGAGTCTGTCTGCCTCGGAGGTGGAAGTCAACTGGAAGCCCCTGCCGTGGAGCACTAGCAAGAGACGCATCATGGGCTATGAGGTGAGAAGAAGACCATACAGCAGCTTTGAAGAATGTCCTTCATAATCTTTCTGTTATTGGAAGCGAGTGTCCTATAATGTTATCAGTTTTAATAACCTAACAGCGCCATATTCTGCATTTTTTCCCCGATATTTGATCCTCTGAAGTTCACCTATAATGTTTACATGGGTTTATGTACCAAAAATATCATAATTAATCTTTAACTAAACTCTTTTTCCATTAAACAAGCTTTTTGTAATTGTGCGTTTAAGACTGATATATGTAAATATATGTTTGGAAGTATATGATTGGCTGGCCTGTGTTGTACCTCAGTCAAAAACAGTCCTGGCTAAAAATATGCTGCTTGACAGCGATGAACAGCACAACATTTAGTCCTTACCCCCCAGATCTTCTGCTCTAATGAGTCCGCTACAGACTTTTTAAAGTCTGAAAACAGTCCTTTTAACTTCATTATGGACAGCGAAACTGCTGTAGGCAGAATGGTGGAGTCATATGTTCATGGTTGTGACATAATTAGTGTGTAATCAAATTGTTAAGATGTAAACAAATTAATTCAGAGTGCATTGAAATTAAATGCTCTGTTCTAGAGAAACTTACCAATTCAGAATTGTTCACAACAGTGATGATAGGAACCAGATGTCTGTTGCCTTTAATGCCTGTAAAAACTTCCTCACAAAAAGCTGTAATGTGAAACGGGTAAGGATATTGTGCCTGACGCCTGAGACGATTGTTGTCTTGTTTTACGATTGATTTGCAATAAGCTTTTGGCACAAAACATGTTTTTATAACTCATTCAAGGTGGTGTGGTACATGCAGGGTGTTCTAGGGCAAATTAGTATGCAAAGAAATTCAAATTTACCACAATTTTGCAATCTTGAACATTACATACAATATTCCGAAGACAAGTAGGTTCACTGGTCATTTTGGACAGTAAATAAAATGTCTGTATTTATGTGGAATACATTCCTATACAGTTCCTGTTTCCATTTTTCTAAAGAAACTTGAGGTTTATCTACAATGTTTTATTTCACATCAAAGCATTTTGAATGACTCTGTTTACATCTTGCCGACTGAATTATGAAGAAATTTTAAAACAGTGGAATTATCCTTTAAGTTGAGGTACTGGACCAAGACACAGAGGCAGGACACAGCCAGTGTGATGAGGACAGTGGGGAACAAGACGGTAGCAGTCATCCGTGGTCTGGACCCGAGAACTGCATATCACATCACCCTCAGGGCGTACAACAGCGCAGGCACTGGGCCGGACAGTGCGGTGGTTAACATCACCACCAAGAGACCCCGTAAGCATCCACCTATCATCTTAGACATGTCTAAGAACAAGATTTCCCAAAGGCAAGATGAAAGAGTGAAAATAGGACCATAGCAAGCTGACGTGGTTCAGGTCACCCCTATTAACCACAGCTCTGTTTAAGCTGCTGCACCATTTACAGAAAGTTGCCAGGTCTTTTCCATCCTGGCAATTTAATTCAGCCCATTCTCTAAGGCTTTCAAACAAGCCCGGCATCTTAGGCATGCATATAATGAGTTTAACCATCCAAATAAAGAAAATAAATCTGAAGCATATAAACTCACAATGGATTTAGAGTAAAAAAAAAAAGACTTGTATCTAATAGAGACAAAAGAAATAAAAAACATTGTGAACCGATACATTATGGCTGAAAAGCCTTCAGCATGGTGACCAACCTGTTCAAACCCATGTCTGAAACCTCAGCACAGTTCTAAATCCCCACAGTGTGGAAATTCTCTAAGGTTGGCAAAAAAGAAAGATGTAAAAACTATTAAAGCAAAGTTATAATTAAGTTTTGTATGAAGGCATAGTTCCTTAATCAGTCTTTAGGGATTGCCTGTCAACGTTTCCCCTCACTTCATAGTTGAATAAAGTCATTAAGGGATAGTAGATGAGTCTGTTTTAGAAATACTAGCACAGAAGTTTCTCAGTGTGGAAAGCCTAAAGATATCTGAGGGTCTGATAAGGAGTTACTGACACCAAAGTGAATCCAATTAAGGAGAATTCAATACTATCAACATCCATGCAAAAAGACCTTCAAGAGCAGTTTATACTCCTTAACCCTCTTTGAGCCTTAGTCTGAGTTTAAAGGAATACTCCAGGGTTTTTTAATCTGATCTCTATCTGCTGCATCTGTATCATACGGTCATTTAACACGGCCTGTAATTTCAGTGCATTTCCCTGTACTTAATTAAAGGAACAGAAACTCCATTGACTCAAAACACATTTATAATAGGAGCCAATGGGCAGTTACTTCAGCACCAAAGCACAGTTGAAAACAGTACAAAAACACAATGTTTGATGTTTTTCCCTCATGAACTTTTTTGTAAATACAAACTCATTCGAAGTTTAATGCTTGCAGTATGTTCCAGATGTTGTTGGTAAGTTGTTGTTACATCACCTTTCCTTTCAACAACACTCTAATTGTTTTTGGACTGAAGGCGCCAAATGATCCAGGTTTGAAAGCAGATTTTTTGCCATTCTTCTTTTATAAAGGTCTTCAGCTGTGCAGCCTTCGTTGTCATGTTTTTATACCTCATAATGCGCCCCACATTTTCAAAGGGAAACATGTCTGGAAGTCATCTTGAAGGCAGCATGTGTTGTTCCAAAATTTGCATGTGCCTTCATAGAAAAAGCAAGTTACCCACGGCATGGGCACTAAAGCCCCCCCACTTCCCGTACGATAACAGACTCTGGCTTTCTAGATCTGGATAGTTCTTTGCTCCTTTGGCCCAGAAAACACAGTGTCTATTATTTTCAAAAACAATGTAAAGGCTTGGCTCGTAAGACCTCGATACTACTGTGCAAGTCCATTTCAGAAAAGCCGCCAGAGAAGCGTTTCTTTGGTGTTGCGATGGTGTTTCTCGACTTTGCTGATATGTGGCTTCTGTTATGCATGTTACATGTTACAGATGCAGCAAAGAACAGTGTTTATTGACAATGGTTTGTCAAAGTATTCTTGAGCCTATGTAGTCATATCCATCATAGAAGCATGGCAGCTTTTAACGCAGTGCCAAGCATTGAGTTGTGGTTTTTGGTCTTGCCATTTACGCGTAGAGATTTCTCTGGATTCCTGGAATCTTCTATGTGCCATAGGGAGTAAAATATCTGTTCCTTTTGATTGTGTAACCTATTTTTCAACATTTCACAACATTGCTCATTTTCAGCACCTTCCCATTGGCTTCTATTATAAGTGTATTTATGGTCATTGGGTTCTCTGTTTTCTAAAGCATGGGAAAACACATCAAACTTATTGTCCATGGTAATAAACTGTGTGCTACAGATGAGGCAGATAGAGATCAGGTTGCAAAATGGTGCTGCGCAGCTGATAATATTAAAATGGTGACATAATTGCCTTTCTTAATGTGATTTCAATCAAAGGCAGCATTGATTATTTAGCATTTCAGTTTAATCAAAAAATGTTCAAGCCCTTACTTCTAATACTTTTCTTTCTCGCTTTAGCACCGAGCCGAGCTCCAGCGAAAGTCGTGTGGAACGCCACAAACTCTAAGATCATTCTGAAATGGGACCAAGTCAAAGCTCTGGAGAATGAATCGGAAGTCATGGGCTACAAAGTAAGAGAACAGTTTTTGCAAAGTGTAAGCCAGTTATCATACTGAAATACACCGATCAGGCATAACATTATGACCATCTCCTTGTTTCTACGCTCATTGTCCATTTTATCAGCTCCACTTACTATATAGGTGCACTTTGTAGTTCTACAGTTACAGACTGTAGTCCATCTGTTTCTCTGCATACTCTGCATAATCACGTCCCAGGGGGATCTGATGCGGCCGGCGCACTGTACAGTGGTGTTAAACTGTATCCACTTATACTGTTTTGTGTCTGTGCTGTTATCCGGTGTCAAACAGAGGAGGGTGGGTTCCCCCTTGAGTCTGGTTCCTCTCGAGGTTTCTTCCTCCTGTTGAGGGAGTTTTTCCTTGCCACTGTCGCCAAGGCTTGCTCACTGGGGGCGTGGACCCGGATTCTCTGTAAAGCTGCTTTGTGACAACATCTGTTGTAAAAGGCGCCATATAAATAAATTTGACTTGACTTGACTTTGTTAGCCCCCTTTTACCCAGTTCTTCAGTGGTCAGGACCCCCATGGACCCTCACAGAGCAGGTACTATTTGGGTGGTGGATCATTCTCAGCACTGCAGTAACACTGACGTGGTGGTGGTGTGTTAGTGTGTGTTGTGCTGGTACGAGTGGATCAGACACAGCAGTGCTGCTGGAGTTTTTAAACACTGTGTCCACTCACTGTCCACTCTATTAGACACTCCTACCTTGTCAGTCCACCTTGTAGATGTAAAGTCAGAGAAGATAGCTCATCTGCTGCTGCACAGTTTGTGTTGGTCATCCTCTAGTCCTTCTTCAGAGGTCACAGGACGCTGCCCACAGGACGCTGTTGGCTGGATATTTTTAGTTGGTGGACTATTCTCAGTCCAGCAGTGACACTAAGGTGATTAAAAACTCCAGCAGCACTGCTGTGTCTGATCCACTCAGATTAGCACAACACGCACTAACACACCACTACCACGTCAGTGTTACTGCAGTTGCTGAGAATGATCCACCACCCAAATAGTACCTGCTCTGTGAGGGTCCATGGGGGTCCTGACCACTGAAGAACTGGGTAAAAGGGGGCTAACAAAGTCAAGTCAAGTCAAATTTATTTATATGGCGCCTTTTACAACAGATGTTGTCACAAAGCAGCTTTACAGAGAATCCGGGTCCACGCCCCCAGTGAGCAAGCCTTGGCGACAGTGGCAAGGAAAAACTCCCTCAACAGGAGGAAGAAACCTCGAGAGGAACCAGACTCAAGGGGGAACCCACCCTCCTCTGTTTGACACCGGATAACAGCACAGACACAAAACAGTATAAGTGGATACAGTTTAACACCACTGTACAGTGCGCCGGCCGCATCAGATCCCCCTGGGACGTGATTATGCAGAGTATGCAGAGAAACAGATGGACTACAGTCTGTAACTGTAGAACTACAAAGTGCACCTATATAGTAAGTGGAGCTGATAAAATGGACAATGAGTGTAGAAACAAGGAGGTGGTCATACTGTTATGCCTGATCGGTGTATGTGAAATGCACATGGCCACACATCAGTGTATTTTTTAAAAGAAGGCAAAGTCATTCAGGACTGCACACCCGAATATATTTTTTTAATAAAAAATAAATCTTGGTAAAAAGACAGTACTGCAATGCCGAATTTGTCTGGAGTCTACAGAAATTCCAGCACCTCATTATATTCTATACACTAATCTGGGCTTATCTTTCGAAGGTGTTTTACAAGCAGAGCAGACACAATCGTGAGAGTGTGGTGGAGACTAACAGGACCTCCCTGGAGCTCGCTCTACCTGTGGATGAGGATTATATCATCCAGATCAAAGCAGTCAGCGAGGGAGGAGAAGGGCGCAGCAGCAGACTCATTACCATCCCAAGGATAGCAGGTGTGTCTATATTTCTCAATTATGATGATAAATTTTACTTATCCAGTGTGTATTATCCAGTTATATGTGTATGCAACATCTTCAAAAATGTCAAATCTTTCAAAAATATTAGATCATAAAAGTTCATTCACTAATGTAGTTTTATTAACAGACAAAAATGGTTAGTTCTGCCTTTTTATTCTGCCGTCTTTGCACATATTTTTAAGTTATCTGACATAAATTCAGATTTTTGTCACAAGCTACCATTTTGAACAAGCAAACACGTACAAAGGATATACATCAGACTTCGACTCCTCTTGTTGTTATTCTGATTGAACAAATGTTCCCAGCATCTAATATAATGATTTAAATTTTGGTCTGAATTCTGAATGTAAGCCTGCATTGCCGCACTATATCTGACAGCAACAGAAGAGCAGCATTGTGAAGCTGTACCTCTGCCTGTATTATCACTTCTTCTTTTTTTGAAACATTTGATGCAATGATTTAGCCAATATAAGGCCCCTTTGCAGCTCTCTCCACTAGGGGGCATCTTTATCAAGGGGCTACAACTCCAGTCTGAATTAATATTAACTTTTATTTTTATATAAAAGTTATATAGTCTGTTTTAGGTAGTCTATACTACGATGGTGTTTTAGGGCCACTGTTAATAAAAATAAAAATAGTAGACTTCGAGAATGAAGTGGTAGAATTATGACGTTAAAGTGGCATTAATACCAGGAAAGGTTTCAATATTTGTGGCCAAAGGCTTTGCACAGTGAAGGCAGCACCTCCTGGTGTTAAATGAGGGGCGGTGAGTTGGTGGAGTTATACTTTCATATAGATTCACCCATAAAGAAACACTCAGTCTCCCTGTCTCTCCTGCACATCAGCACCAGCCTGTTATTAGTATAAGAAACGGCTGAAACGGCTGAGCAGGAAACTGTTTATCTGAATAAAGAGCCAGACGGACTCGGAGGAAACTGTCTGTCTGTGTTGAAGGAGAATCTCAGGCAGGGTCGTCTACACGGCTATCGGGGCTCCATCTCCCCCCATTCAAAGAGGGCATGAAGTTTCACAGACAGTGAGAATGATGATCAAAATGATCCACAGAGAGACGGGAGTGAGTGGAACTCTGACGGCAGTACAGCAACCGAGACCCCTACGTGTTATGGCAGCCCCCCTACAGTTAGACCACTTTATCCTCCAAATATTCTGACTTTATTCTCAAAGTCTACTATATTTATTTTTATTAATAGTGGCCCTAAAACGCCGTCGTACTATACATCATGCTCTTTCAGAAAATTAAATGAAAGTTAAATGATAATCCAGATAGTAGGTCTGTGTGAATGATAGTGTTTTATCAAACCTGCCTTTTAAGCTTAGTTAAGAATGTAGGCCTAACATAGTGCATGGTAAAAGATATGTTCTTCACGTTTCTGTGGTTAAGGCTGCAGTACGTTTCATGCTTTTCTATTCTTTTGTTTCCTGCATTAACGCCATGTGTTGCAGTGGCACATGCGGTGGGAGCAGCATCAGAGATTTCAGTCCTCTCTGTACTCGTAACGCAACTACTCTCCTGCACAGCCAGGACTTTATTATGACAGACAGTCCAAACCCAGCAATGGAGAACATTTATTAATGTCCCCTTCGAGTGGATGTGCATCTTTTTCACTTTTTCAGCAAGTTTTGCGAACCTTCTATGGACTTTTAATAGGAAAACTATTTTGTCAGCCACATTTGGAATACTGATACCAAAGCTGCTACCAAGACGATGGAGTTATTGGGGTTTTTGTTTGTTTTTTTTTTTGTTTGTCTTTTTTTTTTTTATGTCCTCTGTAGCTTCCTGATCTCATCTTGTATCTATGGAAGATAAACAATGGGATGTGTCCGGCATGGCAAATGAATGTTCAATACGCACATGTGGATAATACAGTTTTACTACTTGAGGATGGCTACATGAACAAGTCTATACAAAAGAATATGGATTCTTATCTGCAAAAAAAATGAACTTTTTCTGTATTTTCTGCCGACCACAGGCAGCATCACGGTACACTAACTTATCATACAAATCCCATGGATGTTCGGGAGTTTTGTTACGCAACAGGACATGACTTTTGCTCCATAATGCTTCGGATACTGACCAGTGGCGTTATATACATATCCATTATCTTTTCTAGACTGTGCTGTCCTGCTAAGATGATTCAGTGTTTTGTCCCCGAAAGTGTACAGAGTTTACAGTCCCTCATTGTGGACATGTCCCTTGTTTTCTGTTCTAGAATGACAAATCTATAGCTGCTGGCCTTATCAGTACAGAAGAGCTCCTTAGTTGTCCTGAACCCCTTTGTTCTTTGTTGGTAAAACATCCAGAGCCACGCTTTGCTAGTGCGTGCCTCAGTAATGACGTAATGAAAACAGTAGGCCTATTTAAGATATCCTCAGGACCAAAAAAACAGCCTTAAAAATAGTCACCGTTCATTTTGTTTGCTGTTTATTCTGACAGTGTTTTTGATGAACTACATTTTGATTTAAACAGACCAGCACCAACGTTACATTGTGTAGCCAGTGGCTGTAGTTGTTCATTTCCTGTATCTTGCATACAACACATTCTTTTCCAGTCAATCGCTCTTCAGCATGAATTGGCTCTGTAGTGGCTTGGAAAACAGTATTTGATCGGTCTGACTGCTTTTAAATAAACAAAAGAACACAGAGTATTTTTATTTTTTTTTGTTCAAGTTCATGCAAGTGCTCCAAGCACTCAAATGGATCAGTCTTCAGCTGCGTTTCAGATGTTTCCTGCTATTTCTGTGTAATTGGAAATGACAAACCGATACATAGTACAGACAATGAGCTACAGATTGTTTTAGTTAGATCCAAGAATAGAATGCACTGAGTGCTATGCTTGTGGATTAGACAGCAGTAAACTGCCACAAGTGTTAATGAAATGATAAGAGTGTGAAATGTTGTGGTTAGAATAGTTCATTTAAAGGGGAACTCCACCGATTTTGCAAAATTACTTAATCAGTCAATGGTTTTGACGTGAACAAAAATACTCAGAGTGGTTCGGTGTGAAATGCGCTTTTCCAGAGAAAATTACTGGATCAAAATTGTTCATTATAGGACCAAGAACCAGACGTCTGGCATTTAATGGCTCTGAAAGCTACATCCCTTTTTGTTATTACACAAAATGGTTATGAATGCATGGCTTGATACCTGAGACATTTTTTTGTGCTAGTTTTGTTATAAGGTTTTGGGCTAAAATGTATTTTTAGTAAGTTTTACTCCTGGATTAGTTCCGTGTTTCCTCTCAAAGCCGCATTCTCAACTGAGATCAGTGCGCGCAGGCTAACGTGCTTTGGTTGTTATTAGCCTGTAGCTACAGCCGTTTAACATGGCTAACGCCAGCAACAGCTTTTTTTTTGTTGTTGTTGTTGTTTTCTTACCTATTTTGTAAGATTGCAGAGTATGCAGAGGACTGATTTCAAACTGTTCTCAAAATGTCGTAGATCCATATCAGTTTGAACCAGAAAACACAAAGGAGTTGCAGCGCTTTAAAGAAGAGAAACAGACAAAAGGAAGAGAGAGAGAGACTGAACCCACCAACGCAGAGCAACCCAGGGTGAATGGAAAGTGCTGGTGTCAACAACAAACTACTTGCTGCTCTGCTCTCCAGTTTATGGGGTAGGATAGTGAGGTAGATAGTTTTTGTTTTTTTTGCGTGACCCTCGTTAGACGATCTGTTCTAAGCTAACAGCTAACAGTGATATCGGCACGGTGGCTAACGACGACTAATTTATTTCACTCACAAACGTTTCTTACCTTGATTCCAGTTTCTGCAGGTGTAAAACTGCCGGTGTGTAAATCTGTGGCTCTGTGGTCAGACCATTCTCGGAAACGCTTTCAGAGCGGAGAGGTACATGCAGCGCGTTGTAAGGAAAAAGTAGTACCCAAAGAAAACACATTTTTTCAGTTTAGCACCATTTTAACCATTATCAGCGTGACACATAAAAACTCACAAGACACCTGTAACTTCACTGGTCATTTTGGGTAGCAGATAAAATGTAATGATGTACAAGACGTCTGGTTCCTAGGACTACAGTGGTGAACAATTTCTCTGGAAAGGCACATTTCACACCAAACTACTCTGAATGATTTTGTTTACATCTAAACCGTTAAATGACTAAATAATTTTGCAAAATTGATGAAGTTCCCCTTTAAGAAACTAATTTACAAAACTTTTGTGAGCGAGTTTAGAAAATATCAAAAATAGGTCCAAAAATAGTTTATAAAGGCCATTTTTCAGAGGTTCTGCATGATTCATTGATTGAGATATAAAGTTTAGAGTAGTTTGATGTTAAATGGTTCATTGTAGAGAAATGGTATCAACTCAGTTTCTTTACAGGGGTGATGATAGGAACCAGGGGTCATAATGTCTACAACACACATTTAACAGTTTTGTGTACTATGCAAAACCACCAGTGAACCTACACGTCAGTTTTCAGTTTTTTGTGGGAACAAAATCTAGTATCTCCATTTTTTGTCATTTTTCCACATGATTTGAAAATGGCAGTTGGGATTGGAGAAGGTTCTGTTCTGACAGTGAAGATATGTTGATAACTGTAATATCGCGGTAAAGGTGAAAAGATAAGTTTTCTTTGGGGGCTAATTTATCTTAGAACGCCTTGCATGTACCTCTCCACCATAAATAGATGTACCTCTTGGACATGAAATTTTTAGACTAGACATTCATCTCTAAACTATCATAAAACAATGTCTCCATCATCAGGTAGTGTTTTTGTAATTATTTCAGGTAATAATTTTACCACTCTTAATGATGCATCTTAACCAGTTTTATATGCATAAATTCATAAAATTAAGTGAAATTCACCTTGAAGAAATTTATCAACAGACAAAAAGTAATTTCTGCCTTTTAATTTACTGTTCATATTAAGTAAACCAGTAAAAGCTGTCATTCCACCTGTTTTTAGTACATGATCCACAAAGCTAAAAATTCATACATTTTTGTCATAAACTACCATTTTGAAAATACAAACAAATAAAAAGGAATATACAGGGTGATTCAAAAAGATTCAAATTTCAAAGCGCCACATTTTTCTAACCGTGAGGCGCCTGGGAACCAATCACAATCCAATTGAAAGAGGGGGTCATAGAGTTTCTGCCTGTCAGTGGAAGATGGCTCCCTTCAGTCTGAGAGGAGATGAGACCCCTGAGCAGAAAGCGTTCTGCGTTCTCCACTTCAATAAGAGTGAATCCGTCATAACTGTGCAGAGTGATTTTCGTGGGCAGTGAAGCTCCAACAGCTCAGAGCGTTCGTCGTTGGTTCCACAACACTGGATGATCTCCGAAACCGTCCTGAAAGAGCCGTGATTGCAGCGACACCCGACATGCTCAATCCAGTATGGGATGAGTTTGACTATGGTGTTGATGTTGTCTGTACAGCTGGAGGAGGTTCATACTGAGACCTTGTACAATTACATAATAAACTTTATGCTCATTTAAACCATTTACAGTTTACTGCATTGATCTGTAATGATTTACAAGAGAAATAAATCATTTTGAAATCGGATTAATCTTTTTGAATCACCCTGTACTTCGGACTTCAGTCTTCAGTCAGTCTAAAATGATGAATTGAATTTTGGTCTAATTGTATGCTCACGCTTGTTCAGAATCTGCTGTGCTATATGGGAGAGCAGTGGAAGTGAAGCTGCACCTCTTCTTTTTGACACATTTGATGCATTACTCTAGCCAATATTAGGCCCTTTTATAACAGAGCATGTGCTTTAAGTTAAAGGCTTTCTTTTAGCCCAAATGTAGTTAACAGGCCAAATTTTTTTTTTACATTTTTGTATTTGCCTTGTTGCAAGAAGCAAACATCAGACACTAAACATATCTTGGCTGATGGCTTTTGGGGTAAGGGGGAAAGCGTGTAAATTTGAGCAGTGCCCCCCTTTTTAATGTCTTTTATTTATTTATTTATTTTGAAGACTGCTATTCTTCAGTGTACCACATGAGGGCAGTGCATAATTAAAAAAAAACCTGCTCCCTGGTATCCAAGCCCTTGAAGACAATGATTTTATGACACAACACAACGTTAATTGACTGATTTGATTTATTTCATGTAGAACACTGTACAGCAAACACAGAGAACCAAGCAGTAGGAAGTACAGAGTAGGAGTGAAAGCAATGTAAACGCAAAAGAAGCACATCATAGATGGCACTCTTCATCAAAGAGCCTCTGTCTCCGTTTTACATCACGTTTCAATGGCACATGTTCAATAATAAGAGAAAAGAGAGAGGGAGTCCTGAACCCTGAACTACAACGGAAGCACCATCTGCTCGCATGACGTGGCCGTTTCCACAATCAACCCACTTTCACTCTTCCTCCAGTACAGGAGATGAGAGCAAAATGGTGGAAACTACCCAGCAGGAGAGCTCGTTGATGGTATTAGCTCATTGCTAATCTGTTCAGGGTCTTTATACATATATATTATAGATCTTGGTTTAAGGATGAGACAAAAGTCCGGGTAAAGAAGGTGATGATTAGCTTAGAAGTTAGCAGCTTCTCCATGGCACTTTCTTACTATTAACAAGAAAACACAGGGGCGGTTCTCCAGATACACATTAAGCCTAGTCTTCGACAATATGGCTCTACAAATCTGGATTAACATTTCTTTTCATTTTAAACCACAGTTTAGAGTACAAAAGCCTGACTAATCACAGTTTTATAAAGATTGCTTTTAAAATTAGAGGCAATCTAACACTAGCCAAGGTTATAATTAAGCAATAGAACACAAGAGGGAGTGTGTTATCATGAAATAACATCACGGCTGTGATTTGGTCACCGTAGATGATCACAGCCTTGATGTTATTTGCGATAACACATGACCTTGAGTGTTCTATTGCTTTTATACAACATTTAAATAAATAAAGTAAGAAATTGGGTCGTGCACGCGGCATTTAATGTTTTAATGTTCGCAGTTCCTTCCGCCAAATTATAGTTCCTTATGAGCAGCTTGTTGCTACGTCAGAGTAACAAGCTCCGCCCACTCGCTGCACAGCCGGCAGTTCGTTCTCCAGCTCCTTACACTGAATTCCCAAACTTTTCAGTCGGCAGCTGTGACAGAAGAACACCTGAACAACCTGGAATCAGCCAGAAATGAACCCAATACCATTCACCAAACGTGTAGTCTGATCTTCAGAGTCTGACCAAATCGGACTGAGCCATAAAACTGCCGCAATATCAAGTTTAGCTCAGTTTTGTCAGTTTCTGCCAGATCAGTATTAATGTTGTTTTGTTCCAGCCAGTCTGTAAAGCATCTTACAGCCCATTTAGTTTGGCGAATGGTGTTGGGTTCATTTCTGGCTGATTCCAGGTTGTTTAGCTGTTCTTCTGTCACAGCTGCCGACTGAAAAGCTGCTCAGTGGTGATGACAGTTTGGGAATTTAGTGTCGTCTCATCTTCAGAGTCTGACCAAATCGGCTGTCGGTCAAATGTGATCTTAAAAGTGTCCATTTTCTGTTTGTGGCAAAGAAAGAAGTAAAAACATTCAAATGGCTTGAGCGTCTCCTACAGCTGTCAAAGTCGTTGCTTAGCAACGGCGTCTCAGCGGAGTGATAGTGTTTGTGAAAAACCTGTGATGTCAACCAATCAGCTTGCGTGGCCGGAACTAACTGTTGTATAAATTAAATTTACAGCACGCCAGGTTTCAGATTAGATCAGATTTATTAATTGATAGGACTATAAATGAATGAAATTCAAGCACTACATGGCCAGGTAGTGGCAGGCAGGGCCTGTGAAAATAAACGTGTTGAAGTAGATTCTTGTGATGATCCAATATCCAATGACTATAATAGTTTTTCATATGAAGTCTTAGTTCAGTAGCAGGTCAATTAAATGACAAGAAATTCTTTCTGTACTCTTCTAGGATTATTCCAGCTTAATTTTGAACTTTGTCTGGAAAACCGCCCCTCCACAAGTCTGTAATTGCACTGCTTAGATGTCTGAGAGCTCTACGTCTATCTTGGACATGTTCAAGTTGAGGAAGGTGTGATGATCACGGTGCAATCTTTTGTTGAAGGTCCATAAGAAAATCATCTACAACAAGACACCTCCAGCATTCTAATAAAATCAGAGCATTTCTGACAACCTTTTCTTCATCCTAACACAAGATCCTCCAAGACCTGTTTAAAGAATAGTAATACACATACCAATAAAAGCCCATACACTCATAACACACTACAACATGTATACCTGCAGTCATTCTTCACGCTGTTCCAGCACTAGTGTTACAGAGGGAAGTTTGTAAAGAGAATCACTGAACACACTCCACTGAGAAAATAAACCAAAGGCTCATGACATTTACCACAAAGTCAGGAACTGTCAGATTGAAACACACTAAAACCTGTAAGACGTGATCTCTTCGACACTTAATACGGCATCCATTAACTGCCAGTATGGGACGTGGTGCACCAATGTAAGGAAAGAGTCTGGTTTTTTTTTCTGCTAATAAACCGAGAATAAGATTCACACACAAAAATCAATAAATAACGTATCTAAAGACAATTTTGTGTCTCTGGGGTATCTGGAAAGCCAAACTGGCAGTATTTGTGTTAGCTTCTCCTTTTATGTCTCTAAAAACTAGCAGAAGTTATTAATGGCTGAGTTTCACATGCATATGATACAAATATGCAACAGACTTTAACATTATGCATTACTAACATTAGGGCCAGTGTCTCTAGGGCTTCAAATAGTTTTAGGTTAAAAATGATCATATAAAACAAAATATTTGGGGCATTCATTGGTTCTTCAATTTTTGTGCAAAACATTTACGTAACCATTTATATTTATAACCAGAATGATAAAAGTCTAACAGACACAGGTTAGTTTGTACATATCCAGTGTGTAGTCTTTTCTTTCTGAAGATTACAGGGAGCTTTCTCTTGTAATCACAATGGAATGTGTATGGGTGCATATACATATATACCGATCAGGCATAACATTATGACCACCTCCTTGTTTCTATGCTCATTGTCCATTTTATCAGCTCCACTTACTATATAGGTGCACTTTGTAGTTCTACAGTTACAGACTGTAGTCCATCTGTTTCTCTGATACTTTGTTAGCCTCCTTTTACCCTGTTCTTCAGTGGTCAGGACCCCCATGGACCCTCACAAAGCAGGTACTATTTGGGTGGTGGATCATTCTCAGCACTGCAGTAACACTGATGTGGTAGTGGTGTGTTAGTGTGTGTTGTGCTGGTAAGAGTAGATCAGACACAGCAGTGCTGGAGTTTTTAAACACTGTGTCCACTCACTGTCCACTCTATTAGACACTCCTACCTTGTCAGTCCACCTTGTAGATGTAAAGTCAGAGACGATAGTTCATGTGCTGCTGCACAGTTTGTGTTGGTCATCCCCTAGTCCTTCATCAGTGGTCAGAGGACGCTGCCCACAGGACGCTGTTGGCTGGATATTTTTGGTTGGTGGACTATTCTCAGTCCAGCAGTGACACTGAGGTGTTTAAAAACTCCAGCAGATCTGCTGTGTCTGATCCACTCGTACAAGCACAACACACACTAACACACCACCACCACGTCAGTGTTACTGCAGTGCTGAGAATGATCCACCACCCAAATAGTACCTGCTTTGTGAGGGTCCATGGGGGTCCTGACCACTGAAGAACAGGGTAAAAGGAGGCTAACAAAGTATCAGAGAAACAGATGGACTACAGTCTGTAACTGTAGAACTACAAAGTGCACCTATATAGTAAGTGGAGCTGATAAAATGGACAATGAGCGTAGAAACAAGGAGGTGGTCAGAATGTAATGCCTGATCGGCGTACATGTAACTGAAGAAAAAATACTTTTGTTACCATGTTGAAACGCATACAGGAGCATTATGGTAGGGTTTTCCAAGTCCAAATATACATTAAGTCCAAGAAAATAAATCCCAACACTGTACGAGTTCAAGTGGTAAATCTTAACGTTGCGAAGTGGAGCAAAGGATTCTTTTGAGGATGCCGAGCAGTTAGATCATAATGTTTTGAAGCATTTTTCATGGATTTTTCCTCTCTACCAAGTATTAGTTTGAGAGCCTTTGCTTCTCAGAAGCCTCTTCTTTCCGTTGTTGGCAAAGACTGGTGTCCTTGTGTCCAGCAATCTGTCCGTCCCCTGTCAGCACCATATGTGCCTGTTTGATGAGTGCACTGACCTGCTGTAGCTGGTTTGGTGCTGTCCGTTGTTTGTTAAATTTGTTGATCTATCCTAGACTAAAGCCTGCTTTGCCACATGCAGATCACTGGTTTGAGATTCAGAATCTAATTCTAGCTGATCGAGTAAGCATGGGCATATGTATGCAGAGACAAGTAACTTTTCCATCCCTAGATATGCTACCCAACAGATGATGCTGTCCTTACACCAAGACAAATCATCAGTTCGGAAGTTTTTCAAATGGCCTAGTGAATCATGCCCAGTGCCACTTTGGGCTGTAGAAAGAGAAGAAAGTTCACTTTGGGCTGTGAAGGTGTATTCCCTTAAACAGAGCAGCTCTGGATGCTGTGCTGCAGAGCAGGCTGGCCAAAATCTTTGGCGCTGGAGACTGTACAGATCCAGATGGGTCAGAAAACCAGACAAAGTCAGAGTCTGAGTCAAAAGCTCCCATTCAAATTTTCACAACCACGGCGAGCGTAAAAACAAAAGGATGTGTACATAAACGGTGAGTTCTGAGTTCTGACTGAGTGTGGGTGTTTATCCGTATGCAAACCGGTGAGGTCCTGGGCGATTCAAAATCCAGAACTTCTCCTGTACACAGTCCTGAGAACCTAGGAGATCAGGACTGAGAAAAAGCAATGATGGGCATTAACATCAGTACTGTATACCAATGTGAACTGTATAACGTGTTTTCTGAAAAATTGTTAGGCTAAGGGAATTTGTCAGGTTTTCATGTTTGTGTTTACTGTGCAGAGTAACGGAGCTGCCTCTTCAGATGAGCTCATGAACTCTCACTACAGCTAACTGGTACAACACTGGATGCTGATGAGAACATGTTGTTTTCTTAGAGGTGGACGATGTGCCAACAATGATAGTTTGTCAGAAAAATGTTTATATACATGATCGCATATTAAAATATATATATGTATAAGCATATTTCACCACATTTTACTGTCTTCATTTGACTGAATATTAAGTCTCTGATTTTTCTGTCTTCCCATAACAAAACATAAGTACCTGACTAGTGATTTGTAGGACAGCGTTTTAGGCCCACTGTTAATAAAAATATAAATAGTAGACTTTGAGAATAAATTTGTAATATTTCAAGAAAAAAATCGTAATATTTGGAGGATAAAGTGGTCTAACTGTAGGGGCGCTGCTGTAATGCGTTGGGGTCTCGGTTGCTGTACTGGCGCCAGAGCTCCACTCACTCCTGTCTCTCTGTGGATCATTTTGATCATCATTCTCACTGTCTGTGAAACTTCATGCCCTCTTTGAATGGGGGGAGATGGAGCCCCGATAGCCGTGTAGACGACCCTGCCTGAGATTCTCCTTCAACACAGACAGACAGTTTCCTCCGAGTCCGTCTGGCTCTTTATTCTAGATAAACAGTTTCCTGCTCAGCCGTTTCAGCCGTTTCTTATACTAATAACAGGCTGGTGCTGATGTGCAGGAGAGACAGGGAGACTGAGTGTTTCTTTATGGGTGAATCGATATTAAAGTAGAACTCCACCAACTCACCGCCCCTCATTTAACATGAGGAGGTGCTGCCTTCCCTTCCCAAAGCCTTTGGCCACAATATTACGATCTTTCCTGGTATTAATGCCACTTTTATGTCGCATTTATGCGACTTTTTTCTCAAAATATTAAAAAAAAATTCTCAAAATATTATGACTGTTTTCTCAAAATATTACGACTTTATTCTTGACGTCTACTATTTTTATTAACAGTGGCCCTAAAACGCCGTCGTAGATTTCAGTATTCGAATGCTGGCGCATCAAATGCTCTATTGCTTAAAAAGTAAATTTTAAAATAAAATATCTATTTTCTTAGCACAAAACATATAAAACCTGAAAGAATACACAATTTCTGTCTTATTTATAATAAAGGTAAGTTTTGTAATTTATTGCAAGCATTTTATTATAATACCTTATACATGTTGCTGCAGTGCAATATAGTCATAAAGATGTGTAATAAAGTAGGTCTTAGTGAGTGTGTTATTGAACTTTATAATCGCTTCTTAAATTCCAGTTGGACTCCCCCTGGACATTCACAGTAAGGTCTGTGTAACTCTGTACTGTAGCTTGTGCTCGTCAGCACTATCCGCCAGTGGAAACAGCACAGGAAGTCAACTGTAATGTTACTGACACATTATTATGACCCTGTCAAGACTCCACCTATGCCCTAATTAAAAAGACCAATGTGACAGATAAACATTTCAGTGAAAGCATACGTGTTTATTTTCACAGGGAGAGGATTAATTATGCTCTTTGGGACTGGATATGACAGATACCTTGGACTCCTCATGTGGGTCGTGTGTGGAAGATTCTGTTTCCCTGACAACAACGGCCTTGGTTACTAACATGTCAGGATGCTGCTGCTTGGCTTCTTTTATTGCCATGGCAAGCGCCTGTGAAAAAGCAAACTCTTCAAGTCGGGGGGAAAAATATGTACATCTTTTTCAGATACTTTCCAAGGTTTCACTGTTCTCTCTTCAAGAACTTACTTGATCTTGGTCAACATCGTCATCCCCAGTAATGATAATCCTCTTCTCAATTCTTGTCTCTGAGTATCCTCCTTTCACAGTCTGCAATAGAGAAACGGACACTAGTGAGAGAGAATAATCTTGGTCATCACTGCTAGAGGCCTATGGGCCGTATTTATCTTCTGATGACATAAATAGCCTTATCTCTTTCTCTGCTACCTTGGTAACATGTGTCGTTGTGGTTGATGTCACATTCTCTGTTACCATTAGAGGAGACCCAGAACCTTCCCTTGCCAAAGATCCAAAACTGACCTGTCCGAAAAAGGAATAACAATACATGCAATAAAACAAAATCCAAAGCTGTCAGTTTATACACAGAGCAGTCAAACTACAGGGAGATTCACTTGAAAGAGGCCCCAAATATTCTGTAATAATTCTGTCTAGGATGAAGCAATCTGAACGAAACAACGTGCAATGAGCTCCTCAGTATATGGAGCTCTGAACAAGCCGGGATGCCCCTGCGATGGAGCGATGAGGTAGGCGCCGGACAGCCGTCACAATGTTTAACCTCTGTTTGCAACTTCCAGGTGCATACCCCCGTACCCCTTCATGTGTCTGGCAGAAAACGGAGATCACTTCCAGCATCGCATGTAATGCAGTCGATTACACAAAGTATGTAGTGTATTTTTTGGTTCAGGTTGCTTCATCCTAACGGGAGTTAAAACAGAATATTCAGGGCCTCTTTGGAGTGAATCTCCCTGTACAACAGGCCAGCTGGACACTTTGCTTTCACAATTTTCCACCAGCGGACATAAACTTAGCTCACAACAATTTGATTATTTCATATATTTACATTTACATATATTGATGCATATATATCTGTGCTGGCGCATACGTACAGGAGAGATCCTCTCGGCCATTGTGAAAGAAGCTTCTCGCAACCCACTCATGCCGTGGTCCTGCAACATAATGTTTTTGCATGTTTGTGATCAAAAAGAAACCCAATGTCAAGCATATTTAGAATGTAGGATACACTGCAGCCACCTGTTTACTTGGAAATGACCTTATACAGCTTGTTTACTATAACATAGACACTAGCTAGGTTTCCATCCACTTACTTTATGCACATTTTGCCATATAAAAAGCCTGATAACAAATAAAATTTCCAATATTTGTATATTATTTTGGAACCTCGCCTGAGGTGAATGCATTGTTGCTGAGTTAAAAAAAAAAAAGGCAATGCGTTTTCTTAATAAATGAAGTAAATGTGAATGAAATGGTCATCAGACTGATCACATTTCCATTTTTGAATGACAGTTACCAGCTGAAGAAATGAAAACCTTTGTATCTTATCAAAGAGTGAAAAAACTGCAATTATACAGGGAGATTCACTTGGAAAAGGCCCCGAATATTCTGTAATAACTCTCTCTAGGACGAAGCAATCTGAACCAAACAACGTGCAATGTGTCGGAGCAATGAGGTAGGCGCCGGACAGCTGTCGCCACGTTTAACCTCCGTTTGGAACTACCGGGTGCATACCCCCGTACCCCTTCATATGTCTGGCAGAAAACGGAGATCACTTCCAGCATCGCATGTAATGCAATACATTACACAGACATCGAGGTATGTAGCGTATTTTTTGGATCAGATTGCTTCATCATAACAGGAGTTACAACAGAATATTCGGGGCCTCTTTCGAGTGAATCTCCCTGTATTACCGGCAGGTGCCTGCAACTGATTAATGGAACTTCCTGAGCCGTTGTTTGCCAGAGTGTTTGTCTTTGCACTATGTATATGTGTAGCCATAAAATTAAACAAAACAGTAATGCAGTTGCTAAATATTAGTTTACAGACAAATCTTTACATCTCTTTGAAGGATTTTTATGAATGTAATGCAGTGTTAATGTTGTGTGCAGAGCTGATGGAAATGCAGGGTGTTCGCTTAAATTTAATTCAACAGCTGGATGCAAGCCTGGCTACAGTGACTTCAGTACAGGCTGCCTTAGGAAATCCAACGTATTCTACAGTTTATGTATGTCTATAATGTACAGTGTCATAAATAGTCTATACCTGATCTGCAATCTCCATAATGGTTGTGGTGACCTCTGATCCATTTGGCTGTGTCTCAATCTTGACCTCGGTCTTCCTCAGAGCCTGTGAGGCAATGATTTCACTGCTCTCTCTACTGTGGGGCTGAAAGGATGCCGTCTCTGAAGCCTCTCGTCTTACCGCTTGCATACTCGCAAGCTCTGAAGACTCCTTCTTCAAAGCCTGAGCAGCTTTCACTGACCGTGGAGCTTTTTTTGGCACAAAAGGCTTTATAGAGAAAAAGACAATAGCAAAAGGTCAGGTTTTGACGAGGAACGAGGCTGCTGGAGTTTAGAAAGGCAGTGTTAGCTGAAAGAACCTGACAGCATAAAATGAGGAATGAATTAAAAGAAAAGAATACGAAGCTGTGAGAAACGTAACAGAATTTTGAAATTAAAGCAACCAAACCTTCAAAGGACTGACATTCGACTATGGAAGGCGGCACCATATGGAACAGAATTAGCATCAATCATGAACTGAAATTCCCAAGTAAATTCATGCTTTGTTTTGATGCCCTGTAAGATGCAAGAGAAAATAAAAAATGATATGATCAAACACATTTGGACAGAAACGAGATATGTTCCTACAATACAGAGGAAGGTCTACCTCAGGTTTACGCTCCTCCACAGGCTTTGGCTCTACAACCGGCTTCGGTTCTTCCACAGTTCTCCATACTTCTGCGTGTTTCTCCTCTGGTAGGATGATGGGGTCAGCCCCTAGTGTGAAGGCTGGATGGGTTGGCCGGTCTGAATAGCTAAATTCAGGTGAGAAGTCCTTCTCTCCAAGCTCGGACATACCTCTGGAGAATTCCTCCATCCCTGTCTGAAGGTCCATAAGGACAGTGAAGTCCACCTCAGCCTCCAGACTGGAAGTAGAGCTGACGGTGATACTGGAGCATTTGCGTTCAATACCCAGGTGGGTCTCTTTAAGATACAGGGTTTCTGGGTCAGGGTCGTCCTCGGACACAGATCCCAGGCGTCGTTCCCATGGCTCCCTCTGAGGGAATACAGCAAGAGTGGAAATCGGGAAAAGGAAAACAGTCATTTAGGATGTGAGCTTAAACTATGCTTGTAGAAACAACAAAAGTGGACTGTGGTAACATGAAGCAACTACAAAAAGGCGATGGCATGGATAGATATTTTACAAAGCAAGGATCTTTTTAGACGATGATGTTTATGTGTAGTGACTAAGTACACAAGACTAGAGGGAATCTAGATGTTAGGTAAAACTCAGGAGATGGATTAATTTTCTTTTCAGAACGTGTACGTGTCTCTGAGGGAGGATTAAGGCAAAACTTGTTTGACCTCTGTAGAGCATCACATTTGTGTTGCCCATAAAATTAATTCTTGCATTAGTTATCCGTCTGTATCTGAATTCTCAGGAGTTACTTAGAACATATTGAAAAATCTTGGCTCGTTGCTCTTTGAGGCCAGCCTTAGATGCAGTTAGTAGGTGAATGACGATTCCCCACCATGTTAGAACATCTTCACATGCAGTGAGACAAAACCTCATCTCATTGAATCATCAGACACAATGGGACAAGTTATGTGATTATGTAGGGACGGTGGGGGGCATGCGTTTGATTTTACGCTACTGTGGTATGACAGCAAATATGAGCTATTAGCTTTTAGGTCATGGCAAAGATGCTGAAGCCTGAAGTTGTGGGTTAGCAAGATGGGAGAAGGCAAGATGAGTGGAAAAATGAGGCACCTGGGCTTCCTCCTGTGGTTCCGCATGAATTGCTGGAGTGGGGAGGGGCTCCTGGTGAAATGAAATAATAGGAAGAGTAATGCAAAGTTAGAGCTCTGAGGTTTCAGGCAAAAAGAGCAGGACACCACAACGCCCACAATCCACCAGCTGGTAATATAAAAGTCCAAAACTCAATTATGTCAGTACAAGGTATTCATTCTATAGGGTTCTTTAACGACAAGTAAGTTGCACCGTAAGACTTCAGAGCTGGGAGCTTGTATACTTTCAAGGTAGGAAGCTGTGGTAAGTGCCATTTCAAGGACCTTGAAGGTATTCAGCTAATTCTTTTTATTGACATGGCACTGCAATTTACAACATAGTGGAAAAATGTATGATTTAACCCTCAGGAGCTTCGTGTAAAATATCGAAGTGCTTAGTCAGCACACAAAGGTCAAGTGATACCAAATTATATTAAGCAGTAATTCCTAGGTTTCTGTTAAGGCTGTGCAAGTTAAAGCTCAGTGGGCTTCACTGTTCTCTGCCCTTGAATCTACCCAAGTGAAAGGGAAACTGAAGCCTTTTAGGCCACAACGTCGTACAATTTCATCCAAGGACCATGGCTTAGCTCAATCACATTACCTCTGTGCCCTGCTCATAAGCAATTATATGGCCATTTTTGGAAGTCTTGCTTGCAAAAGCCCCTACATTTGCAAAAATGGCATTTCAGCATAATAGCATGGTGCCTTTGATTCCCAGCAACAACCATTCCCTTTCCGACCGATAAACTGGGACCAGAAAACGGCTGTTGGAAGGAAAGGCCATAGGCACAGTGGGAATTAGAGGAACGTGAGCCTGAAGCTTAAGCAATGAAAATTACATGGAGGATCCTATGGTTTGTCTCAAATGTGCAAGCAGATGTTGAGCTGTGGAGAGGAGGGAAAGGGAAAGGAGGAAGCGCATCTTCATCCAATCAGCCAGCGACTACAACACCCTAACGCTTCTACCAGCCAATGGATAAGACTAGATGCCAAACTGGGCATTTCACCCATCTCTCCTCAGATACAGGTGCTTATGTTCTACAGGTGTGTGTAGTAAAACTATAAAATATGGATGTGCAGGTTCATGCGATGCCTACAGTTCCTGTAAGTGACAAGCAGATGCCAAGCAGTTGTTACCACTGGTTTCCTCTTGGCGGATTCTAAGCTGGAGCTCTTGAGGAGGCTGTGGCCGGAATCAACAGAGGTGGTCTGTTTGTTTCGTGCCTCTCTTGTCCTCTGGGATTTTACAAGAGGATACAAAGGGGTCATTTGATCAAAGGCAGGAAATGTTAAGTTTGATGGGAAATTGGACAGTGGGGAAGGATCTTCACAATAGACCTGGTCATCCCCAGCGCTAAGTCTCTGATTAACGCTGTCTGCTGGATCCTGAAACTGCTGCCTGTCTGGTCGTGGTATCTGGTTGTGTGCTCTGGCGTCCCTATTATGGCCATTAGCAGTCGGATTTCTTTCAGCGACCGCTGCGATGCTACCCGTGCCTACAGGCCTACTTGTTTGTGTGAAAAAATCCAGTACCTTTTCACTTCCAGATGAATCCTCGTTCGACTTTGCTCCCTCAATCTCATTAACTGATTTGCCACTTTCAGTGTGGTCTTGCGGCTTGACTCCCTTGTTTCCTTTCAACTTCTTCGACCTCTCAGGCTTCAGGGGTACGACTCGTTTTACCTCCGATTGAGCGGCATTGCTCTGAACTGAGTCTGCGGTCGTTTGGGTCTTAACGGTAGTTCTTGTTTTGTCTTTTCCGCCTTCCATGCTTTGTCTCTGCCATCTGCTTCCGTTATACTGATCTCTCATATGTTTGTCGACGGCTGCATTGGGAGAAGCCTCACCCCAGCTTCTCTCTTCATAATTCCAAAAATCTGGGTTCACAGAATCTTCTGCATACCTCCTTTCAGTCCATCGCCTCTCTGTTGGATATTTATCATAGCCGTTTGCATGAATACTGTTCTCCACATGCCTCTCGTGTGGAAATCCGTTATCATCATCATTGTCCACAACAGAATGCGCATCCTGGATATGTTTGTTCTTCAGTACAGAACTTTTAGCTCTGGTTCTTTGAGGCTTCTCTGGTGATGGGATGGAGTCCTTTGCTTTCCTTGTTATGGCATAGCTTCCCATTGTGCCATGAGGCATATGGATTTTCTCTCTCATCGCTTCCTCTCCTTCGTGCTGTGAACCAGTGAAAGATGGATCTATTCTAGCGGGGCTCTTGTTCTTTTCCTCTTTTGAACTGAGGGTCAGGTCTCTTTGACAACCGTCTGGCTTCTCAATCAATAAGGGTTCCTCAGAGGCCTATATATCAATATAGAGTGAACAGTTTCAATTGCTTGCGAGTGTCGTCTGTACACTCTTGTTCTAGTAAGCCCTAGAATTAGTTTAAGTTGACGGGATAGTTTCATATCCACTACCTACTGAAACATACATGAAAGCACTGTTTCAAATGTTATCATTTATGTAATCATTCACCTCTTGAACACAAAAAAACATTGACACTATTAACCCGTTTCAGAATACTTTCATGGCAAATTCAAAACATTATTAGTTTGCACTTGGCCAATGGCTTGATATAAGAGTTCAACAGTCTCCACTTAAAGAAAGACATACACCGGTCAGGCATAACATTTATGACCACCTCCTTGTTTCTACGCTCATTGTCCATTTTATCAGCTCCACTTACTATATAGGTGCACTTTGTAGTTCTACAGTTACAGACTGTAGTCCATCTGTTTCTCTGCATACTTTGTTAGCCCCCTTTTGCCCTGTTCTTCAGCGGTCAGGACCCCCATGGACCCTCACAGAGCAGGTACTGTTTGGGTGGTGGATCATTCTCAGCACTGCAGTAACACTGACGTGGTGGTGGTGTGTTAGTGTGTGTTGCGCTGTTATGAGTAGATCAGACACAGCAGTGCTGCTGGAGTTTTTAAACACTGTGTCCACTCACTGTCCACTCTATTAGACACTCTTACCTTGTCTGTCCACCTTGTAGATGTAAAGTCAGAGACGATAGCTCATCTGCTGCTGCACAGTTTGTGTTGGTCATCCTCCAGACCTTCATCAGTGGTCACAGGACGCTGTTGGCTGGATATTTTTGGTTGGTGGACTATTCTCAGTCCAGCAGTGACACTGAGGTGTTTAAAAACTCCAGCAGCACTGCTGTGTCTGATCCACTCGTACCAGCACAACACACACTAACACACCACCACCACGTCAGTGTTACTGCAGTGCTGAGAATGATCCACCACCCAAACAGTACCTGCTCTGTGAGGGTCCATGGGGGTCCTGACCGCTGAAGAACAGGGCAAAAGGGGGCTAACAAAGTATGCAGAGAAACAGATGGACTACAGTCTGTAACTGTAGAACTACAAAGTGCACCTATATAGTAAGTGGAGCTGATAAAATGGACAATGAGCATAGAAACAAGGAGGTGGTCAGAATGTTATGCCTGATCGGCGTATGAAGCATTAAAAGAAAGCCATTAAATAAAGATCACAATCAACTTTTTTGCCCAGTGAAAGTAAAAGCTTAAAAAATTATACTAACTGGCAAAGACTACTATATGAGTCCACTAAAGCTGATATGACGAGCAATATACATATTGTTGGAGCTACATTATAAAGCATCCTACTGCACACTGCAGGCTCTTTAAGCCTCTTATACTTACAGCTTTTTTCTCTGGAGTGCTACCAGAAGAGGCTGCAGATAGGCGTTTCTCTCTATGGACTAGTTTGCTGTTGGGTTCCCTCAGCGCTCTCTTCAGCTCGTTGATGCTGGCCTGATGCTTTTGCAGTACGTCTTCCGGCTTATCCAGGAATTGCTGCAAAACAAACCCATCAACAAGGCAAACGTCCTCACTGCAATGTGTGAAACAGAATGTTAAATAGGTAGATATTCAGACTGGCCAACAGTGGGTGTATAGCAAATGTCCTATTTTTTCATTGCACAGGAATTTCTGTAAATATACCTGTAGTGGGTGATGTTTATTTCATAAATAACATTTATCTTACATCTGGCAACTGCAAGAAAGGAATACTTCAGGGATTTTCAACCTAATATCTTAAGTAACTGCCCACTGACTTCTACGATAAGAATGTTTTGAGTCAAAATGTTTTCTGTTTCATTGAAGAAAGTATGTCGAAATTCAGGTTAAAAACCTGGAGTATTTAAAGTATTAACTGTTTACACCTCCCAAATGGTCCTTGGACACAATCAGGTGAAATAAAACACACCACATTTGAAAATATGACACATGCTTGTGCAGTCAACAGATCACCGTTTTTCGGGGTCCAGTTTCCATGACCTCCACTGCATGGAAAAGAAACTAATGATAGGATCTTATCAGAGACAAACAGCTCAGGCATGGATGTGCCAGAAGTAGTACCTCCTGTTTGGGGCGTGGGGCCAAGTCCTGGTCCGACTGGGGAGAGGGGTGAGGGTGTGAGATATGGCGCGAGGCGAGGCAGGGCGAGGCACAGCGAGGAAGAGGCAGGGGGGAGACGGTGGAAGGAGTGAAGACAGGGAGGCAGAGCATGGTTGAGTTTAGAGGGCAAGGCAGGCAGCCAAACAGACAGAGCAAGTCTCTTATACACACAGGCTAAAGTCAGGCATGGAACTGCAGAGAGTGGGGCAAGGTTGTGTTAATGTCCCAGATACACAGATCCAAATGTTGCTTTCTCAATGGAAGATAATAATGTATCCGGGCCATTGACACAAATGACTCGAGCTTTCTAACAACGTACAGCCTAAAACATACATAAAGTGAAACGCCTAAAAGCAAGAAGAAGAAATGCTGCAACTATGTCACCCCTAATCCCATTACACTTGTGAAAGGAATCTCAAGTAGGAAGCAATATGTGCGCCACTCTTTGATCCATCTAAGTCAACGTGGTGTTCAAATGAACTAATTTGGCAATATGCTCAAACCGCACTGCTATTTCTGTACCATCTGTTTCAGCTCTTCTCATCCATTAAACTCACAAAGCTCACACCAGGCCTGAAAGTATTCGCTGAAGTAATGAGCTTCAAGGTGCTGCAGATGTAGCATCCTAGGCTTGTTAAGTGAGACAAAAACAAAGCCAAAGTTTATGATTTTTAAATATGAACTGATTCTAATATTACTCAAATGTTATCAAAGACCAATTAATTGACCTACCCATGCTCAGCTTACAAATGCATTGTTTTTTAACAACTGTTGTGAGGTTGGACAAGTTTTACAGAACACTGGAAGAAAATCCCACTCGACCCATTCAGTGGGTGATGTGCAAAAAATGTGCATGTCATCGTCACATGGAGGACAGGAATTAGGCTACATTCACATTACAAGCCTCGTTGCTCAAATTCGATTTTTTGCTCAAATCCGATCTCTGTGACACGATGGTTCACACTCGTTTAGGTAAGTGATTCAAATCTGTCATTAATGTGACGAACCGGCGTCCTGAAATGACCATCATGAGCTCATCCTACTCAGTAACGTCACGTGAATGAATCACGTTCATCATCAGCACAAACTAACGAGCAGAACGAGCTTCGCTGAGAAGATAATTAACTCTGATCAGCTCTCAGCTTCATTATTAGAGCGAGACGAAGGAGAAAAAGGTGAGATGAGCTGCTTTTCCACCGTTTACAGGCTTTAACTTCTGTTTGGCGCTGCTGCCATGGTAACGCTGAATGATGGTCACGCGCAGTGGAAAAAAAAGCACATGAATTCTGATCTGAGCGTCACATTAAGGTCACATGGCCACAAATCGGATACGTATCTGATCTAGGAACACATATGAAAGTGGCTCAGGTCGGATTTGAAAAGATCAGATTTGTGTCCACACAGCTCTGAAAACATCAGATCTGAGTCACATTAGGGCAAAAAATCCGATTTGTGCCACTTCAACCTGGTAATGTGAACGTAGCCTTATTTTGTTCTAGCTAATATCAGTTTGAGTAGTTAGCCTAGCAACAGCGGCACTCGCTCTGCATTCTCAGTTCATTGCTCACGTTCAAACATTTGAGTTTTTGTAGTAACAAAGTACAAAATACTTAATTACTAACAGACAAATGTTGCTCTTTACAGTCCTATTAGAACTGAACTGTTGGCCTCTGTGTTCCCCTTGACTTTCTTTGATGCATCATAACAAATATCCACATAGTAAATTCAGTATTCAAAAGTTGACTGGACACTCAAGGATCCCCGCACACTCATAAAGTAACATGTAAAATTCAGAGACCATATTTCATTTGTTTAAGTTCCAGTCAAAATGGCCATTAAGAACAAGTTATTCATTTTTTAGTGTTAGATTTTTGTCTATTCTTTTCAGTTCTTTTCAGGAAACTTGCTTTTAGTTTTTCAAAGAATTTTTTTTCCACACCTCCAAAGTTCAGTCTTAGAAGTTGGTGGCATTTTCGGCTTCTCACAATCCAAGTAGGCTTAAACACATTCAGTGATGTTGAGGTCTGGACAGAAACCCTGTTTTTGTTTTCAGATCTGAAGCAGTTTGATTTTGTTTTGATTTGATTGAAGTTGAAAGCTTTAAATGCTGTTTATCTGGTGGTGACAGTTTTGGTGGTCTAGCACAGAGTGTCTCAACCTTTTCCACCTCAAGATCCACCTGTTTATCACCGGAAAGCATGGAGGCCCACAGGAAACCATTAATGTTACTGTGAATTTTATTAATATTGTTTACCACTTGGGAACGTTTTTATTTTATTTTTAGTTTCTTTGTTATTATTAAGTCAAAATTTTTCACTGACTTTTGAAGTACCATCACTGGCCAACTATGGACCACTGGCTCCTCCTCAGTACAAGCCCGAGGACCACCGGAGGCTGCTTTGTGGCTCACTTGTGGTCCATGGCCCAGTGGTTGAGAAACCCTGGTCTAGCAGGTCTTTCACAGTTGTCAAGATTCCTAGTTTTCTATCTTTTAATAACTTTTGGAGATCCAGTTTTGGAAACTCCTGTTTTTTCCACTTATTTTTTTGACTTTCTAATTAGATACGTAAGGGAATCTTAGAAAAGTCTCCTGAAAAATGAACTTGTACTTAATCACCATTTTGACCTGAAGCTGAATAAATGAAGAGGGGATCTGAATTTTGCATAGCATTATAGTTAGAACTGACTGAGTGTAGTTTTTTGTCACGTAATCTAATGTAAGCGTAAAGGTAAAATCATCGTTTACAACTTGCCTAGTTCAGTTAGCTACAACAGAACAGTCCAGTTCAGTGCTGTCACATTTAAACTGGAAACTCAACGTTATGTAGCAAACTCCAACCCAAATTTGTTAGGTTCAGTATGATTTTGGCCCAGTGTTCTATAACATGCTCCAAAACAACACATGTGGGGTCACAGATAGCCATGAAAATCTCACACTAAGAACTGACTGATTAATCAATACAAAGGCCCAATCCCATTTCTTCTTTTTACCTCTACCCCTTGTTTTCGAGTGTCCCCCTAACCCCTTGGAACTGAGTTACAGGGTAGTGGTTGAAATCTTCCCTCTGAAATGGGACCCTCAAATAAAAAGAGCATCACTTCATTAACAGCTACCAGCGCTGCTCTGTAGGCGACCCTGCCAGTCTGCAGTGACAGCAGAGGAGGGTAAAGTTCAGCTCCTCACTGCTGGGCTTTAGTTACATTTAGGGAATCATATGACTTCAAAGAGGGGGGCAATTATTTATTATCACCCACCCCTAATTCTTCAGTGATATGAAGCTGAAGTCAGATATTCACCAGCTTCTTGTTCGAATTTTCTTGTTCCACCTTAAATGGTGCAGCAGTTACATTCTGGCGCTTCAGGCGTCAGAACTGCTGGACTATTTAAGGTGGAACAGGAAAGTTAGCTAGCAAGCTACTGAAACGACCATAATACACTGAAACTACATTATACTAAGATAATACAGTGGTTATCGTAATTTTTTAATGGAGAAAATTCTCACATTTGTGGGTTTCTTTGGTCTCTTGTGCTCCATCTTACTGTTTTTTCTTTTTTTTCTCATAACTCTCTGTTTGGAGTCTCTGTAAAACCTCTGTTTGGAGGGTCATGTAGCCCCAACACTTCCCCCTACCCCTATATCTCAACAAGAATCGGGACACCCTACCCCTAGACGTGAACGCGCAAAACAGAGGGCTTAGGGCTCAGCAGTAGGGGTGAGGGGTGAAATGGGATTGGGCCAAAGACTGGTCTGGGCGGACTGAAAAGCCATGTACACGCAAATCATGCTCTGTGGCATGGCTAACAAAATGATGGTTTCACTGCTAATCATAATGGACTTCAGACATGCTACTGGGGTCTACATAGAGGTAGACATATAGACAGACAGACAGTCAAGACAGACATATGCTAGACACCACAGAATACCTCTGCTTTAGAATCTAGAGGAGACCCCGGCTCCTCCCTCTGCAAGCAAGAGAATGGAGGAAAGAGCAATTAGTAGAAAGCAGGGGAGGGATTAAAAGCTAGCAGAGAAGTAATCTGGATTAGATTAAGAAATTCCCAGCAGGGCACAGCAAAGGCAGCAAAGTATACTGACAGATTAGGCAAAAGTCAGAAGGAGGCAAGATATATTCGGAGAGAGGAGAGATTAAGAAAACAGCTAGACATAGAAATATATTCCTATCTAAGCTCAAGAGCATCAGGAGTGAAGGAGCAAACGAGAGATAAGAAGAAGTGGAGGCTGTAGAGGGATGGACAGGGACAGGAGGCCTAAGAGGAGATGGATTACATTTTGAATTGGAGGAGAAGTCAAGGCCAGAGGTTAGTGTTGGTCAGGTGTTAACATAATGTGGTTGGACTCCTAGAGCTAAGTGTAAATATCTGCTGAATATTAATACAGTTCTGCTTAAAATAACCAGAAGGCCTTCAACTGCTGGAAAGTCATACCTTTTTCAATTGTATTACAGCTCATTTTGTGCATTCCACTCCTACTGCTGTTTAATTTGGCTTGTCTTACAGTTCATTACATAAGGCAGTATGAAGAGATGTAGTCTGACAGCATCTCATATTTCTCACTCATTTTCTTTCCCTAGCAATTTTCAATTTAAGTAGATATAGTTCTACATTTGAATTATTTGCATTATCATTCATTAGAGTTATTAACCGTTCTAACGTACCTTCAGCTCCATAGCCCTTGAAGGAGTAGCATCAGATTCTGACCCTCTGTCTTCAGTTTGGTCCTGATCCTGGTCTAGATCATGCTCCTGACCGACATCCATGTAGTCCCGGTCCAGCTCGTCTCTGACCAGGCCAGGAGTGGGTTCGCTAGGAGTGTGCTGAGACAGTCTGTCCATTGTGTCCCCCAGAGCAGAGGCTGACAGTAACACAGTCATATTATACAACAGGAGGTACCGGCATGACACCTTAAAGCCTCACTGTGTGCTTGTTTACAATCATTTCTTTTATATTTATTATTTTTTTTTTTTTTATAAATTTGTTTTGTTTTATAAAAACTTTCTGTTGTGCCTCCATTGAAGATGCACCTACTCAGTAAAGCTGCTCAAGCATGTAGGAATATGTCAGTCTCTTTTTACATTGATATACAGGGAGATTCATTCGAAAGAGGCCCTTAATATTCTGTAATAACTCTCGCAATCTGAACGAAATAACATGCAACGTGCTCCTCAGTATATGGAGCTTCGAACAAGCAGGGATGCCCCTGCGTCAGAGCGATGAGGTAGGCGCCGGACAGCTGTCGTGTTGTTTAATCTCCATTTGCAACTTCTGGGAGATCACTTCCAGCATCGCATGTAATGCAATCGATCACACAGACGTCAAGGTATGTAGCGTATTTTTTTGGTTCAGGTTGCTTCATCCTAACGGGAGTTACAACAGAATATTCGGGGCCTCTTTGGAGTGAATCTCCCTGTATATGAGGCTGAAACCACTGTTGTATTTGTGCTGTGCAGTGCTGGTAAAAATAGGCAATAAAACAACTAAGTTAACTGTAACTTTTTTTTTCATATCAATAAAGCTTGTTTGAAGTATTTTTGATAAAATGATTATGCCCTTCTATTTTTCAAATCGACAGTATTAGCAGAGATGGCATGATAGCATTTTTTCTTTTCTGATATAGATACTAATATTAAAACCTTGACTACTGGTTAATGCGGAACCCCTGTTTAAAAATAATTTTCTTCAAAACTACTTAAAGTATTACTTCAAGTACTGTAACCCCACATGGTAGCTACAATTTCAGCCTGTTTGGAAGGTTCTTCAATTCAGCCTTGAATGTGAATATTTTTAGTTGAACTAGAAATTTTTAAAAATATTTTAGTAATTGTAATAAAATTTTTAATGAAACTATTAAATTATTTGTTTATATTAATAAAAATATCCAACAAGTTAATTTCCATTCCTCGGCAGAGTGGCCACTAGATGGCCTGCAGAGAGGGGTTAAAATAAAAACTGCTTTAAAATACTTTAAAATAGCTCTAAAATCAGCGATTTGTAACTTATAATGAACTTGTAAAACTAGGCTGTTATGGTAAAACCACACACTCTTTTACCCCACAGGAAGAAATTCACAGCTAACATCACTGAGTGACTGCTGTTTCAGGTTTGTTACAGGACATCTTCTGCTGATGTTGGCCTGATACTGTTACGTCGTCATCTCTAATTACGGATAAAGGCTTATCACCAGATGGTGATGCACGCTTTTTACTTACTAGACGTAAAGGAAGAAGTCTAGCCATTCACTCGCAACAGCACAAATCCATGTCCCAGAAAGGAGAGTAATATTGCTATTTTTGTTTAGACACTTTTAAAGGTGCTGCATGTTGAATGTAAAGGCCCAAAACGTTGCCATGTCCTCAAAATGTAGATATTTTTATTTTTTATTCACACTCACTCATATAAATATTTATTATATGAAATATATTATATAAATGTTTTTGTGTATTGCACCAAAACAAGGCTTTTATTTTCTGCAAAATGTTTTATGCAGTGAAGTCGGGGGGGGTGGTTGTTCAACAGGAAATGCATATGATAATAATCATTAATTACTGTTATCAAATTATATGGAAAATAATAATTTGTGAGTCTTTGGAAGAAACTCTGAAAACCCACCTCCATCTAGACTGCGTGACAGCAAGTACCTCCGGCTAACTGACCGCTCAAACTGCGGGGCCGGCCTGTCGATCAGCGCGCTAGCCTGACGGGTCTGGGCCTGAGTCCGTCCACTATAGCGGAACTTTGAGCCAATCACCAAAAAACCTTTGGGTGGGGGTTCAGGAGAGACCAACCTGTAGGGAAACAGCCATTCAGTCCAAACAGACTTACTCAGGCAAATAAGGCTTGTTTAAAATGATCTAACTTATGATGGACTGCACTTTCTCAGCGTCCAATTATCTCTGTAAAATGAGAAGATGCAAACAAATTCACACCCCTCACACCTCACTGGGGATAATTGTTGTTTTTTAATGCGGCGTATATTTCCTCACTCACTTCTCTGTAATGTTTACCAGACTCTTAGTAATGTGAGACACATTGTAATGTAAAACAAAAAAAAGGAAAGGAAGAGGGGAAAAACAGCTCATGTGACAACTGGCTGTCAGAACACAGTACCAGAGACTGAATAACATTAACACTCTTCTGAAAAAAAGACAAGACAAGAAAAGAAAGAACAGTGCTGAGCTGGGCCTGACCGATTGGTTGGACCAAAGTTTCAGAGATTATTAGTGTTTATGAAAATGCCATGAATAAAACAGTTATATTTAAGTATATTGTTCTACACTGTAATGACCAGACAGCTGTAATATGAGGAGAATCACTACACGCCACTCTAATTCTCTTTAAGAGAACTGTTAAGCTGACACTAAGCTACTGTTCACTTTTAGCACCGTTTTTCATGTTGAAAGATGCATAAAAATTAATTTAACCTGTTCATAACTCAAAATCTTTTGTGAAGAGAACTAATGAAACATAAGAAAAATAAGAGCCAGTTAACAGAATCCAACAGAATCTTATTTATCTTATTTAACACTTGTTTGTTTTGTTTGTTTGTTTATTCAAGTTTAAGAAATGTAACAGTTTGACAAAATTACTTTCACTCATATACTGACTGTGTATACATGCACTCAATAATCTGATCATAATCAGATTTCTGCAGTTATCAGATTATTCAACTGGTCATGTAAACACCATACTGCGATCTAGAAATCTGACTAAGAAATCTGATAAAGAGGCTGGATTTTAGCTCAGTAATCAGGTTTCTCAGTGCATGTGAAGTCTCACTCTGCTCCATGCGCGAGATCAGACGGTGGATGTCGCGAGACGCAGCAAAACGGCGCTGAAACCAAACACAAAATAAAGGATTTAAATATTCATCTTCTAGATGATGTGTGTTCATATTTTCAGGTGAAGCGGCACGATGTTTAAAAAAAAAAAAGCCGCAATATGAAATTTGAATTTTATGTTACGTTTACGTCACGTGTTCTTCTGTGTGTTTATTGGCTGGTTCCAAAGCAGAAATCTGATTATTGCCTGACTCGTGTAGACCTGGAGTTTCCAAGTATCCGATGACTCAAGTGCATGTAAACGCGTTGATCGGATTACTGACAAAATTGTAGTTATCGGATTATTAAGTGCATGTAAACACACTCACTCAGTAAAGCACTGTTTAACTAAGTCTGATTAACTTTAGACCATATAAAATTACATCGCCCAATATTATCAATGTCATAGGAGTTGTTAGCTCCTTAAAATCAGTATTGGTGATAGTTTTCATATCGGTCAGGCCCTAGTACTGAGTGACACGGCAGTGAGGGCCTACCTGAAAAAAGTGTGGTGTTCAATGCAGACCTTCCACAAGCGCTTGGAGGCTCGATGGTTGGGCAGCTTGAAGCCAATGGTGCTCTCAAACTGTTCATACTGGGGGGTGCAGGGGAGTGTGTATATGTGTAGGAGGGGGTGAAGGGAGAAGGGCAGTGTGTTACTACAGACAAGATGGTGGGAAAGGTGCAACTTAGATAGCAGCCAAACAGGGTACGCTTCAGTGAGCTTACAAATTAGGACAGTCTACAAATAGAAATGAATGAATGGCTGAAAGACCAACCAGCACACTGTGGATCTGTAGAAGTACTAGTTGTATAATATGCATAAGACTGAGAGACGTTACCAAGCACACTTTCAATTTTCATCACTGTCAGAACAAAAACTTACTCAGTTTTTTTAGGGCTGAGACGATAAGCAGTCGTGCTCTACACAATATTACATAACGTGACTAGTAACATTAAATGCTAGTCTTAGGCCAGAATGCCCCTTTGATGTGACGTGATGTGAAGATTTCAAAGCATTAAAATTCGACTGTGTGAAAAGACCTCAAAATGACATTAAACTATAATTAAGTGTAAAAAAAATACTGTTTTTTTCTCATGTAGCAGCTCTCCAATGCGCCACTCACTCAGAGGGCAACTCACTGCTGTGTGTCAGAGAAGTAAAATGGATAATGTTTTGAAAAGCAGCTTGGCGCAGAGAGCTCATGCATACAAAATGGTAAGAAAAAATGCTAAATTCTACTTTAGCTTCGTCAGTAATTATAAATAAAGTGGTCCCAGCCCTAATTATTTCACACCATTGGAAAATGCTGCCTGTCTTCTACATTTATTTATAATTTTATTATTATACAATAATAATTAAAAAAAACTTGTTACATTTAATATGCATTAAGTTAGGAATGTTTGGCTACGTTCACACAGCAGGTAAAAGTGGCCCAAATCTGATTTTCTTTTTTGTGTCTGTTCAGATTATCTTTTAAATGTGATCTGTATGTGACATCAGTCTGAACAGATCAGCTCCTAAACCGACCCACAGAGCAAAAGAACAGAGCGTCACGCTGCTTCACGGCTCATCCAGAGGTAAACAATCACGACTATGAACCACTTTTACCTGCTGTGTGAACAAAGCCTTTGTTTCCTTCCACAAAGGTACCACTTTGAAACAGCTGTATGAAGACATAAGTTAATATGATATCTTGAAAGGAAGAAGCACAAAGTCTGGTTTCTGCATTGAATTGTCACACATCCAAGGCAGAATCTGGAAGACGTACAGGCTGCATGTGCTGCTGGAGATAATCACATTAGGAGAAGAAAAGCAGGGCAAGCAAACTGAGAAGACTTCAGACTTCCAGCACTGATAACCTCTTCTACTGCTCCTTCTTTTCCTACCTCCCCTTCTCTGCTGCTCTCTCTCTCTGAAGGCGTTTTGCTCGGTGATTTTTCGCTGCTGCGAAACAGGATCAAAAGACTGTGATGTATCTTTGACATGATCAGTGGACTTTGATGGATCTCAAGTTTTTGCTGTTTTAAAGTGCACTGATTTTGAACACCATCGCAGTGAAACGTCTTTATCTTAATAATGAAAGTACCGCTGAACACACGTTTTGCACATGTTTTGAAAACATACATCAACACTAGTGTTGTATTTCACATCAGAGCTCAAGGTTTCTCCTGTGGTTTGTCCACTCAGGCTTGGAGCTGAAGGAGAGCCTCGATGTCCTCCACACAAGGCTTTTAGCTTTTAACTCACTGTGCTGCATGTCCACATCTTTGAGCTGCGGCGACTAAAAGAAAAATCGTCCCCTTGGAATTATAAGGCTCTGTCTGTGTTCTGAGCAGCAAAAACTATAGCAAAACTGACGTGGGACACGTCTCTTTAATTCATAACCATGACAGACACCATAAATATATTCTAAATGTACAAAATCAAAATCCCACCAAATTTGTAAATGAAATTTTTTTAAACATGTTAAATGCAGAAGAACCTTCTAATCCTAAGATCTCACTTTCTGCTTGGAGTTATAAGGTTCTATCTGACAAAACGATTTTAAAGGAACCCAAACAATTTAATCGTAATTTGTTTTAAAGCATAACATTAGTGTTCAAACTGTCTACATGTATCAGATAATTAACTGTAATGCTCTCTATGACATTAGGACATTTATGTGTATTATTTATTTATTTTTATGACATTTGTTTCTTGTTTTTAGGTCAAATCATATTTCTTATTTAAAAAAAAGCATTGCAGATTAAGTATAAAGGTCAGTGCTAAATATTTTGTCCAGTGCAGAGGTCAGTTTTCAATAGGAACCATTAGTTTCCTTTAGGTTAGACAGCAACCGGTTACTGTAATAAACTGCCCCAGCAAGTAAGTGTAGCAGGTCAGTCTAAAGGCAATGTGAGGTTTTGTTTTATAATGGCAGTCTTTTGATCCTGTTTCACAACAGCATATAGCCACAAATCACAGAGCAAAACGGATTAAGAAAGAGAGAGAGCGGCAGAGGAAGGGAGAAAAAGAGGGGAGGAGGCAAAAGACTGTGATGTATCTTTGACATGATCAGTGGACTTTGATGGATCTCAAGTCTTTGCTGTTTTAAAGTGCACTGATGTTGAACACCATCGCAGTGAAACGTCTTTATCTTGATAATGAAGAATGTACTGCTTAGTGTAAGTCAATAACGTGGGATATAGAGATTATTAAAAACACACACATTAAAAATTTAGTATGTGTTCTCTTTGTAGCGACTCCTTACTGTTTTTTCCTAACTCAGCCCTGAGTTACAAACCTATTTCCCTAAGCAAGACGCTCACAATCTCCAAACTGCAGAAACTCAAATGTAATAAATGTTGTTTTAAGACATTGTGAGACATGTCAGCATTTGGAAAGCTGCAGAATTTGGAATATGTTTAATTAATCTCTTTCAGCTTCTGAGTGTAAAGTCTGGAACACCCACGTAAGTCTAAATCAGACTGGCCAGTTAGTTTCCTTTAACTGCTTATTGGACTACTCGCTTCACCACTATCAATAAGAGGATTAAAAACAGCTTATCTGCTGAACTAAAACACAAAAGGAATCACTCCCATCTATATATCGACATGCATTTTAAAAGGTCGATATCTAAAACAGTTTCCAAATTCCAAGTCTAATCCCGTCGTCGATATCTTTAATAACACCGGAATCCAGTAAACATGCCTTTATGAACAACATGTAAGAAGAAAACCTTGAAAAATTCAAAAGACCTTTTTCTCTACCTCTCCAGGGCGGATTTTGATGTAAAAGTTGCTTCTCTTGTAGGAGATTTTGAGGATCTTGGGCCAGGCAAAGCGGTTAATGCGCAAGCGGTCTCTGTAGATCAAAAGGCCGCTGGCACACACACCCAGCATTATGTCAATGCCCTCTGAGTCCTGTAGAACACACACACACACACAGAATTTTCCTCAAACCTGGTTGCCATATTTTTTATCATTTTGCATGTACGATGAAAATAGTGATGCACACAGGTCAAACAAGGCAAATAATCACAATCACATTTTTTGCAGTTAACTGTGATTAATTGCATTTGTCGTATTTGCTTACATTTTACCCTAAAGACAGTTTTTCCATTTCTAAAGCAGTACATTTTGTTATAGCTATATGAGTGGACAAAATAAGCTTTATTACAATGCATATATTACTTTCAATAATTCAGTTATATTATGTTTATCATGTAAATGCAGAGTTTACATGAAGCTAAATATGAAACTCATGTAAGCACAGGGTGAAAATAGGTTAAACAGTTTCTAATTTTCATTACTGCTGTTGTTCAGTGAGAGCAACAGTGCCTAGATCAGGGGTCTCATCCCAAATGTTAAAAAGAGCCATTTTGTCCTTTCAACAAAAATCAAACCACCTTGAGAGCCACAACATTTTATGCCCATTTTACTATCTTGGCTGTAAATATGTCTCAGTATGTGCTGATGCAGTACAGGCTAAAAATATAATATAAACAAAAACGCAGACTGACTTTGCTCTGCTTTAAGCTTTAGCTCAGCTATAGCTGCTTTTCTCGCATCTCCAGCAGGAAACTTTTCCACGAAAGTAGAGTTTATCAACGTTCGAGGCTGAAGTCGCTTCTCATTCACAGCTTCTTGTTTGAACTTTCCCGTTCAACCTTACATTTGGCAGAATTGCTGCGCCATTTAAGGTGGAACAGGACAATTCTAATGAGAATCTGACTTCAGCTTCAGAACTTTTTAGTGTTAGTTTTTAGTGTCAGTTTCTCGTTGCAGATTAATCATATCAGGAAACCAGCTGGAGTGATTATAAATGCAAAGAAGTCCATTCGTCTCCAAATTATTGACATTCGTCTTAAATCTTTCTCTTTGCCTTGTCGTTAGCTACTAGCTAGGCGAGATTGTCTGTGTTGCTATGATGACCATGTCTGTACACCAATCTTCAGGGTTAAAGGGTGAATTAGCCGTTCTTCATTAACTCCAGTGTTTAAGACCATTTATTGTTAAACTGTGTTGAACGATCAGCAGAGCTTTATTTTACTGTAAAGGAGGATTATTTTATTTTTACCTAAACATCCAATTCTGGAGCTGCAACAGGACAGCAAAAGAGCCACATGTTGCCGACCCCTGGCCTAGATGTTCTAACTCCTCCGGGATTGGAGCCTCTCACTCTCATACTGCTACATTATGTCTTGTTTTGAAGGGAACTGTAGCTTTGCACTTTTCTATTGCTTTTGTTACTCCTGTTTTCCACAAGCTCTGCCCGGCACTGTCTCCTAAAGGTGTCCTTCAGCGCTAAAGTTACTGATATTACTGACATTGCAGCATCTTCGGCGTGTTTCGCTTGCAAATGATATCTGATGTGCTTCAGTGATAAACACATTCACGGCATCATAGTCGCTGGAAATAACTTGGGTTTTATCAAGAAAGCTATAATATAACTTTAAAAGCTGTATTTGAAGAGACAACAGCTTAGGGGGGGCAGTATAGTGTGCAGTCAGCTGGGCCTACGGGTGGAACTACAGACTGTTTGAAGGGTCAAACTAGGAAAAATATGAAAATGCCATAAAAAAAATAGTGGTGTTAAGAATGTATTGCATTAAAGTGTTACCGCTTATACAACCCCATTCCCAAAAAATTGGGACAAAATGTAAATAAAAACAGAATGCAATAATTTGCAAATCATTTAAACCCTATATTTAATTGAAAATAGTATAAAGACAACATATCCAATTTAAAAACTGAGAAATTTTGTTTTTTTTTTTTTTTTAAATATATGCCTATTTTGAATTTGATGCCAGCTACACGTTTCTAAGTTGGGACAGAGCAATAAAAGACTGGTAGTTGTGTAAGGTTTAAAAAAAATAAATAAATAAATAAAACTGTTAGAACATCTCACAGTTACTGGCATCTCACAATTACTCACACCCAACATGATTGGGTATGAAACGAGCATTCCAGAGAGACTTTCAGAGGTAAAGATGGGGAGGGGGTCACTACTTTGTGACTGCACAGGCAAATAGTGCAACAATTCAAGAATAACATTTCTCAACTTAAAATAGCAAAGAACTTGGGGATTTCTTCATTTATGGTACAAAATATCATTAAAAGATTCAGAGAACCTGGAGAAATCTCTGTAGGCAAGGGACAAGGCTGAAAACCAATACTGAAAGGCCAGGATATTTGGGCCATGAGGTGGCACTGCATTAAAAACACAAACAATTTTGTAGTGGAAATCACAACATGGGCTCAGGAACACTTTGAAAACCACTGTCTGCGAACACAGTTCATTGCTGCATCCACAATGCAAATTAAAACTCAAAAATGAAATGAAGAAACCATATATAAACAGGATCCAGAAACGCTGCCGCCTTCTGTGGGCCGGAGTTCATCGAAGATTGACTGAGGCGAAGTGAAAGTGTCCTGTGGTCTGCCGAATCAAAATTTGAAATTCTTTTTCGAAATCATGGACACTGCATCCGCAGGGCTAAAGAGGACAGGGACCATCCAGCTTGTTATAAGCGCACAGTTCAAAAGTTAGCATTCGTGATGGTATAGGGGTGTATTAGTGCACATGGCCTGAGCGACTCGCCTATCTGTGAAGGCATCATTAATGCTGAATGAGGTTTTGGAGCAACATATGCTGCCATCCAGATGACGTCTTTTTCAGGGAAGGCCTTGCTTATTTCAGCAAGACAATGACAAACTACATTGCATGTACAGCATGGCTCCGGAGTAAACGAGTCCAGGTGCTAAATTAGCCTGCCTGCAGTCCTTTGAAAACATTCGGCAGAGTATGAAACAGAAAATATGACAAAAGAGACCCTGAACTGTTGAGCAGCTGAAATCCAGTATCAAGCAAGAATGGGAAAACATTTCACTTTCAAAACTACAGCAGTGTCTCCTCAGTTCACAACCGCTTACAGAGTGTTGTTAAAAGAAGAGGTGATGCAGCACAGTGGTCAACATGCCCACAACTTTTTTGAAACATGCTGCTGGCATCAAATCCAGAATGGGCATATATTTTTCAAAAACAATAACATTTCCCAGCTTTAATGTTTTATGTGTTGTCTTTGTACTATTTTTAATTGAATATAGGGTTTCAATGATTTGCACATCATTGCATTTTGTTTTTATTTTGCACAGCATCCCAACTTTTTTGAAACAGGGTTGTGTATATATAGAAAGTGTATGTATAATAAATGTATAGTTGTACATGTGCACCTTGGCATGATGGAGATCAACCCCATACATAGAAAGCTTCTTCGCATTCTCCAGGAAGTTCACTTCAGCCTCTGCAGGACTCATACCCCTACAGCAGAGCACACAGATTACCATTAGAATTATAATCCACATCATCGTTATATCATCATCATCATGTCATTAGAATATCATAATGAAAAACACAAAAAAGAGTAGAAGCTATAAGGCGTAAGGTTAACAGTTTCTTTTCTATAGACAGGACCGCCAAACTAGTCTCTTTCAAAGGATGGCGCTGATTTCAACAGCTTTTCCCCTCAGTCTGGTCACTGGCATTAATTCATCTCCCACTGCGCTGCCTGTCTGTATTTGCAAGTTGGCTTCAGCTCAGATTCATTGTGAGCGTTCATAATGGGTTTGGGTAGCTTGGTCCAAGAGCATGCTAAATTATCATGCCTGAAATAGTGCTAGCCACATTTTATAGTGAAAGGACTTAATTCTATGCTAATACCTGCTTTCTAAAATGCACTTACTCCTGCAAGTTAGTAACTTTCTTTGAAATCTTTTTGTGTGCAGACATGGTGTGACAACTTGGCACTTGTTAAGATAGAGTCCTCTATCAATTCCATGACCATCTGTCTAATGTCTAGCTGTTGGTTAGCTAAGCCTCTTATTGACCAGGGTATATTTTGGTTTTTCCATCTAAATTTACATGACCAAATCATAGGGCAAATTATTCAGTAACTGCATGAAATAAATGTAACTTTTTTGTTTTATTTATTTATTTATTTTTTGTAAAAGCTCCCCGCAAATGAACAGAACGTGTTTTATGATCATACACATATTGCTATATGCTTACAATTTACTGCTGAAAGCCAAAAATCTTAGACGCTCTTTGTATTATTTTATAAAAATAATGTTTACAGAGCAGATCACTGAAGAAACGCCATCTGTTTATAGTTTATAGCCCAGATTTGTGGAAAAATGGGTCGACTTTCAGTAGAACAAAAAAAAATTGAGTTCAGCTTCTTTTATTATAAGGGTTTAAAGTTACATCACCCATCTATTTGACTGGAAAGAAGACAGTTACAGCCTCATACGACCCCCACCTTTAGAATGTAGCTTATGAAATATGAAAGTTATGAAGAATATGACGAAGTGCGTTTTGGAACCACCGGTGGTCTCAAGGAGTTGAAAATGTTAGCCAGATAACCGATTACTGCTATACTGTTATATGAATATGGTTCTGCTATGGTGTTTCACTGTTACCAGCTCATATTTATTCATCATTTTCTTACCCTGGCTCCATCTATGGACAGTCTGAGTACTGAACTGAACATTGTGAAGCTAACACAGTTAACCTTTATTATTAATTGGACAGAAACCGCTGGCTTATTATTCTGTTTCTAATCTTAAAACTCATTATTCAGTAACTACTATGGTTTAGTAGTATTTATGTGCAGGAGGAAATAAAGTGAGAGCCTGTATATGGAATCTTTCTGTTTATAGCACAGTTCAGATTCAGTCCTCAACAAAGTCCTCAAACAAATTTGGTCTCAACAAAGCAGTCGGTTGAGGACAAATCTGACTGCTTGTCTCGTCAGTCAAAAAAATGAGTCATTAGAAGGCACTGAATTTTGCGATGGTGTAGTCAGGGTGTCTATTTTAAACTTTGTCAGGAGCTGAAGGTGGAAAACACAAATGTTTTTCTAAACTTTACCAGTATTATGCCCTCCAGCTTTTCTTGAGGCTACACTGACAGTGTACAGACAGCACAAAAACATGTGGAGATCCTCTCTCTCCTCTATCCAAAAGTCCACCATTTCTTCGAAAACGTAAGTTTGATGCTTCTTGATTGGTCAAGCAAAGAAACAGTGTAATTAACTTTGGAAAACTGAGGTCTAACTTTGATAATACTATTAACTTTAGTCTTGTACATTTGATATTGCACGTTTTAACATTTATTCACATTTTATTATTGATATTTCTCCATTAAGTCACAACTTAGGCTCATATTTTTCCCCCCTCTCTCTTCTGTTCTGTTTGTATGTGAAGAGTAATTACCTCATCCTTGAAACAAGCATTTGACCAACAGCATCCAATGGGCCAAAACTAGAAAGATTACACTGGTCTAGAGCAGGGGTATTCAACTCCGGTCCAAGGCCATTTGCAACAGCTGTATGTCCAGCTGTGCTAAAATGCAGACTAGTAATAACGTACGTGCTTAATTTTAGGTTTATGCATTACTAATTCAAAGCAGGTTGCGCCACATTAACTACATTTAATGGTGAGCTTACTATGTACTAAGCATTTATACCTACCCCTTAGCAAGTGTTGAGTAAAACAATACATAGATAGCACAAAAAGACAAAAACATGACCTGACTTTTTAGGATAAGATAAGCAAGCTAAACCCTAAATGTTATGTACTGTGATTATAATTACAGCTCTAATCATGACCCTGGTTCTAACTCCAAACATGAGGCTAATATCCACCACTCCAGTTAACTGAGACTCAGCATCTGCCACAACGTCCAAACTGATGCTGCTTTTGTTTTGGATAATCAGACACCTTGTTTAAAAAAGCATAACGTTCATTTGTTGTTAGGAAGTATTAAAGAATAAATAAACAAACAATGTCTATAGGTGTTCAGTGTTATTCAGTTCAACAGTAAAAACAAACTTGTGCACACTGTTCTCTTCTAGACTGGATATTTTTCTGTGGTTTTGCAAAAATTCAGCACAAGCTGTCGTGGCATTTTCATAGAAGCGGGTTTATAGGTTCTGAGAACGTTATGTTAAAGCAATATATCGCTGTTGTCGGAAGAAAACCTTGTATCTTCAAAATGATAACTTTACAGGAAAAGAAAAAAACACACTTTAATGTAAGTCAATGGAACCAGACTTTTCCAAGTCGTTTTGGGTCGTTTCTTTTAGTCCTTTCATCATGACTTTTACATACAATGTAAAGGACAACAGGCATTTTCAAATTGTCAAAAACTGAAAATGTCAAAAATGGAGATACAGGGTTTTCTTCCAACAGCAGTGATATGCATTAGATGGATTGTTGTTAGTTGTTTTCTCACCAAATCCGATTATTTTGTTTGCCTGTTCACATTATCTTTTAAATGTGATCTGTATGTGACATCAGTCTGAACAGATCAGCTCCTAAACTGACCCACATGTGCAAAAGAACAGAGCGTCACGCTGCTTCACGGCTCATCCAGAGGTAAACAATCACGACCGCCAACGAACGCCAGTCGCTCCTGGAGGATCAGCTTCATCTTCACCAGCATCACAGAAGCCATCATGAAGCTTCACTGACTGACAGCTGGGCTCATCACCCAGAATGTGTTCGAGCCGTAAAAAGGGCGTGGTCACTTCTTTGGTTCGCGTCCTCGGATTCTTTAAACTTTGCTTTCAGACTTTTCCCTGACGCTGAAGCCTTGTTCTCCTCCGGCCTCGTTCAACCATTTCTTTCAAAAAAAAATCTCTTCAAACACAGAGGGTTTGGGATGAGTCTCTTCTAATTTTTGTACAGAAACCTCAGCCTAAATGTTTGAGTCTCAGCAGCGCAAAATGATGACGAATGTCGAGTTGGACTGACGTAAAAGTCTCATGAAATGTCTGTTCAGACTGAGCCGCATTGCCGCAGATCGGATACGTATTGGATTTCAGTACATATGGAAGCGTCTCAAATTGGAATTGAAAATGTCAGATTCAGTGTGTTTATCTGTTCACACTGACAGACACACATCTGTGTCACATATGAAGAAAAAGATCGGATTCTGGGACTTTCACCTGCTGTGTGAACGTAGCCCAAGTTGTAGTTTTACGTACAGTTAAGTACTTAAGTACAAACTTATGCAAAACTGATACAACTCCAGTCCCGGAGACCTAGTGTCCAGCACATTTTAATAACTGCCCTACTTAAAAACAACCTACTACACCTGGCAATTAATAGGTGAACTGAATCCACTGTTTCAAGCTCTTCCAGGAACCAGAGTTGAAAACTCCCTTTTTACTGAACAGTCTAGCAGCACAAAATCCATTTAATCTAGTCAGATATAAACGAGCCTTAAAGATTTGACCAGCTATGCTGAATAAGGGGTATGTGTGGTGTCCTCCCTTGCCTGTAAGTTCGATGGAGCTCCATCACCCTCTCCTCCAGCTCACGGGTCTGGTTGGGGGCGAAGCGGAACTCGCTGACGTAGTCGGGCCCGTGCTCGTCAGGGTCATAGTCACCCAGCTCGGCCTGCACGGCGTAGGAGCCCAGCAGAGCGTGTGTGACGAATGAGCACGGCAGTCGCCCAGACAGCATGTCCTCCCTCAGCTGTAGACAAAGGTAATACCTACACACACAGACACCAGAACCGTTCACATGGCAACCACCGTCCAGGCTCCATCCTCTGGAGTGTGTTACTCGAGATGCCGAGTGATGCTGTGTTTGCCTTTGAGAGCGCGCCTAAGAACACAACATACGGTTGGGAAGAGGACTGAAGCAAAATCCACAAGCTCAGGATTACTCAGCTGCAGATGCGAGTGGTTTGGGCTGGTGCAGGCATTTCAGAACAGAGGATGGAGATCAAAGAAACGTTTCAAGCCAGAGAGATTCTTAAATTCTTACTTTCTGCTTTTAAATTTCATCTTTTAATGTTATTTTATCGAGAGGATCAAATGCAGTGCTTTGGTAAAAACAGGTGTGAGCTTCACAGCTGGGTCTAAAGATGCTGAGTGGATGCGCCTGTTCAATCCTGGGCGAACAGCAAAATACTCGAGCATTTGTGTAAAAGCACAAACAGCAAAATGGCAGAGCGGAGATGCAATAGCTGCACATGGGAGAGCAGGGAGAGAGAGGATTTTAGCCCAGGTTCAGCGCACTCACCGAGTGATGTCTTCTATCAGCTGAGAGGGATCAGGAGGATAGAATTTGACAGCAAAGGAAAACTGCCAGGAGCCCACTGTGACCAGACAAGCAAAAACAATGGGTTAGGAAAGGGATGTGCCCTTTAAAATGCAACACGAGAACACAATTTTCCTTTATCTACTGAGGTGAAGATGCAGGAATGTGTGGTGTGCATTTAAGGCTGCAGGATATGGACAAAATACTAGTATTGCTGGTATGATAGGGCTGTTGTGCTATTGTAGTGTAATACTGCTACATATTCCCTTCGCAATACATCTTACATTCATTAACCTCTTCAACTCCTTGAGACCACCGGTGGTTCCAAAACACGCTTCGTCATATTCTTCATAACTTTCATATTTCATAAGCTACATTCTAAAGGTGGGGGTTGTATGAGAGCTGTAACTGTCTTCTGTCCAGATAGATGGGTGATGTAATTTTAAACCCTTATAATAAAAGAAGCTGAACTCATAATTTTTTTTTCTACTGAAAGTCGACCCATTTTTCCACAAATCTGGGCTATAAACTATAAACAGATGGCGTCTCTTCAGTGATCTGCTCTGTAAAAATTATTTTTATGAAATAATACAAAGAGCGTCTAAGATTTTTGGCTTTCAGCAGTAAATTGTAAGCATATAGCGATATGTGTATGATCATAAAACACATGTTCTGTTAATTTGAGGGAAGCTTTTACAAAAAAAAAAAAATATAAATAAATAAATAAAAATTCACATTTATTCCATGCAGTTACTGAATATTTTGCCTTGCGATTTGGTCATGTGAATTCAGATGGAAAAACCAAAATATACCCTGGAGAATAAGAGGTTAAAAACAAGCTGGTGAATCATTAGTGTGATATGATTAAAAACTGATTAAAAAAATGAGAAAAACCTACCTCTACTATAATGCTAATTTCTGATAGCACCACTAAGGGGTTTCTAATAGTATGTTAGCGCTATTCTTACAGTGATTAACTTTTTTTAGGCTAAACATTAACATCTGGCATAAAGCTGCTGTTTTCCAGTTCTAACAATGGAATTAAAACCTATGGGGGATGTAGAGAGAAGCTGAATTGGTCCTACTAATTAAAATTAACATGCAACTGGTTGATTAGACTGTAACTTGTAGGTTGGTAGGTAATCTAATGTAGTTAATCTAAGACCTTCAGTCCAGCTCCTGAAGTCCTAACCAATGGGAGAGATAGCTTGGCTGTTCACATTCTGATTAGATCATTTTTCCGCTGGGCTTTTCAGGATTTTAACCCTTTTGTTTTCCAATCAAAATTTAACAATGAAATAAAAGTAATAGTGCAATACTTGCTGAGTTTAAAAATGAAAAGCATGATTATTCTATCTAATAAAAACACACTGAAATGTACCTATTTGTAAGACTTCACTTCTGCTCACAGTACACATTACAGAAAATTAACTGGTTCAAGGGCTGTTTTGCATATTGTTAGTCTTGTGATATTAGTGCTGCAAAGACCAATGTAGTAATAATGATTAACAAGCAACATATTGTGTTCAGCCCTAGTACATATTTGAGAAAACAGAGAGCAAACATTAGGCTTTCCTACAATGCCGTTTTAGGGCCGCTGTTAATAAAAATAAAAATAGTAGACTTTGAGAATAAAGTCGTAATATTTCGAGAATAAAGTTGTACTCTTTTGAGAAAAATGTAATATTTTGAGAAAAATGTCGACATAAAAGGGGCATTAATACCAGGAAAGATCGCAATATTGTGGCCAAAGGCTTTGCACAGTGAAGGCAGCACCTCCTCATGTTAAATGAGGGGCGCTGAGTTGGTGGAGTTCTACTTTCATATCGATTCACCCATAAAGAAACACTCAGTCTCCCTGTCTCTCCTGCACATCAGCACCAGCCTGTTATTAGTATAAGAAACAGCTGAAACGGCGGAGCAGGAAACTGTGTTTATCTAGAATAAAGAGCCAGACGGACTCGGAGGAAACTGTCTGTCTGTGTTGTTGAAGGAGAATCTCAGGCAGGGTCGTCTACACGGCTATCGGGGGCTACATCTCCCCCCATTCAAAGAGGGCATGAAGTTTCACAGACAGTGAGAATAATGATTAAAATGATCCACAAAGAGACAGGAGTGAGTGGAGCTCCGGCACCAGTACAGCAACCGAGACCCCAACACGTTATGGCAGCCCCCCTACAGTTAGACCACTTTATCCTCCAAATATTCCGACTTTTTTTCTCGAAGTCTACTATTTTTATTTTTATTAACAGCGGCCCTAAAACGCTGTCATACTTTCCTACTGTACTTACCTCTGATTTGCTTCTTTATCTCTTTGGAGGGGTCCAGCCAGTTCTGAAAGGAAGGACAGCACAGTTCCCATGAGGGTCAAAGCTCTTTCAAGCAAAACAGTACAGCAGAGTGAGGAGAACTATTGGACTCTTTCATCAGAATGCACAATGTGTCTCTGCTTTGGCCAGAGCAATAATTCTATATGCATTCCATTAAATGGTCAGTGCATTAATATTCAGCAGCTGCAGAAGCATCAGGGAATAGATAAATGTCATCTTAGTCCCACCATTCTGGCTTAAGGTCACCCAAATGTGTCTGAGGCTCTTAAGTGTTTGCTTAACACACGCACCCATCCACACACACACTCTCATACACACTTTTGAACTGAAGTAATTACAAGGCATTTCATCTTTAGCACACAACACACTCTCAAGTCAAATATTCCAACACAATAGTATCAGCATATGATAAAACAATGAGTGTTAAAGGGCCTGTATCAAAACCGAAACGACCTTGTGTTTCTGAAATTAGAGTCTGATGTACAGTACTGCGCAAAAGTCTGAGACCACCAGTCAAAATGTCTGTTAAGTACAAGCAATTCATTTTTCAGTGGTGGAAAAAAGTAGTGCACCTTATATTTTAACAGAAAATTACAGAAAAGCCTCAAACACAAATTTATCAGTGTTTAATTTGTCCACTTTTTACTGCTGTGCACCCAACAGACACTTTACCTCCTCCATCCTTCCAATCTTAAAACCAACCAGCTACGTCTGTCCTCCCAAAAAAAGCTGTTCCCAAAGGTCTCACCGACATTGTTTCAAAGAGACGCTTACATTCACACAAGCAACTTCCCAAACTCACCCGAGCTGCCTTGCAGATTTCTTTCTCCTGTGCATCTAAAATGTCTACAGAAGATATAAAATAATCTACTTGGATAAGGACGAGAAAAATACAACGTAAAATAAGGACAGGAGTTTCTATCACTGGAGTTCAAAAAAATATGAAAAACATCCAGAAAAAATGGGACTCCTAAGAACTGTGGCATGTAAGACCCAGCAAACCACAGTCAGATTAACAGTACTTAAAGCTTTCTTCTTTGAGAGATAGGAGGAAAAACAAGTTCGGCTCCTGCTTCAGGTCTGTTGGCCTTTAGATGGTGCAGAGAAGCAGAGAAAAATATTCCAGCAGATTTATTTGAAAAACTGAAAGCAAGTCTCCCTAAAAGAATGGAAGCTGTAGTGAATGCAAAGCGTGGAAACACTAAATACTGGGGAAAAAAACTATTAAATTTAGTTTTTGTGTATTCTGTGTCAATTTTTTCCTGAAGCTGAAAAATAAATATGTGCTTAATGGCAGTTTTGACTGGAAATTAAATAAATAAACAGTGGTTTCTGACTTTTGCACAGTACTGTAATGTGTAAACATTGTTTAAGATTTAAAACATACTGCAAGTCCATATATGGAAAATACGCTTCTTATATTATTTTCCAGCCTGTTTTCAATTGATCATGGTTGTGATGCCACAAGTCATCAGAGAAGAAGTTCAGTTCAGCAGTTCAGTGGAATGCCTTTTGAGGCCAATACAGGGCAACCAATCAGAATAGAAGTAATTTACATATGTCCATCTTAAAGGCACAAAAACAAAACAGCCTGTTTAAGAGGATAGTTTTTGACTTTTGGTACATAAAAACACACAAAAGGACACAAAGGGAAAAAATACAATACAAATACAGAATATGGTCACTTTAACAAACATATCGCGGTTGTCGGAAGAAAACCTCGTATCTCCAAAATGGTAACTTTACAGGAGAAGGAAAAAACATACTTTACTTTTAATGTAAGTCAATGGAACCAGAATTTTTCCCAAGTCATTTTGGGGCGTTTCTTTTGGTCCATTCTTCATGAAATTTACACACAACGTGAGGAACAACAGGCTTTTTGAAGATATGTCAAAAACTGAAAAAAAAATGGAGATAAGAGGTGTTCTTCTGGTTCTTACAGCAGCGATATACACTGATGCAGTGCACTGTAGAGATTTAGTGTAAACAGAGAATAGAGTTATATTACATGCCATTAAAAACGACAGCTGACCAATTTCGACTAAACTCCCTAAAAACAGTAATAAACAGGTTAACCAAAAAACACTTCATGAGCAGAGACGTCTTACAGTCTCGCCGTGAGCTGTCTGTTGTTCAAAGCGTGGCCGACGAGTGAAACAGAAAAACAGCTTTGCTCTGTTAGCAGCTTCCCGCTGGCTGCTTACTCTCCGAAAAAAACAACACCTTTCCTCTCTGATCCTACTAGCTGTCAGTGCCGCGCACCGCTGCCGCCGACACCTGACGAAACTCGCTCGCTTTCTGGCTCTCACTACCACTGACTCCACTCAGTGGGTTTTCGGCAGCGAAGGCCAAGAGAGTGTAAAGAGGGTGTAAAGAAGCCTCCAATGGGCAAAATGGCATGGTGGCAGTTGAGGAAGAGCCATCATTAGCGTTCAACTAGAGCAGGGGTCCACCTGAAACAGGGTAGACCACCATCAATCAAACACTCACTGTGGAGCCTGGGATATATACAAGGGCACTCAGCGTTCTCTGCAAGACACGATAACTCCAACAGTGGCAATCTACGGGCACGACAGAACCAGCAGAGCTACAGTTATTTATAGAGAGCAGGCTGCATTAGCAGGAGGGAATCTTAGGGGAAAGTGTTGGCGGTAGTTGGTATGCATGCAAAATTCTGGAAATAGTGAAAGCACTCAGGGGATAACAGCGTTACTGGGCCTGAGATAATTGAGAGATTGACAGCATATGGTGACAATGAACCCTTAGTTAGAGTTGTTACTTTTGTTTTACTGTAATGTTCAAATGTAATTAGATAAATACATAATTATTCCATATAGTGAGTGAGGCAGTGGATTACGTTTACATTCGATTTACATTCTGCATCGACAGGCTCAAATCTGCCTGTTGGTCTTTTCTCTGTTCATTTCGGTTTTAAGGAATAACAAAAATGGTGAAAACGTAAAGGAAGAAAACAAGGCTGTGCCTTCAACAATACATTTTCAGTATCTGCACATTGGAAATAAAGTTTAAGATCTGTACCTTAAATAGTTTTTGCTTGTTTTAAAAAGCTACACTACTTTTTGGAACAGTTTGGAATCACTTGTCATTAATAACTGCTGTTCAGTGTCATTCAATAACATACAGAGTAGATTAAAATTTTAGAGAGAAGAGAAGGTATTTCAAGATTTTTTTCATTCAATGTTTCAGGGTTTAGGGAACAGCGAGAAGTTATCCGATGATGATTAATATACTGCAAATGTCTTTTTATATTAATTCCTATTATTAGTTACCTGCCTCAAAATTGGATCATTACTTTTCGAATATGAGGCACACTGGATGTTCATTTTCTTAGAGCTTTGTTTTCAGTGTTCTTCAGCTTTCTCAATTATCATGGAATCACCTAGAGCTCTGTTCATTATTCTAGACTAATTCTTTCTTGACAGCTTCCGACAAATGAGCTGAAACCTATATAACCGTAAAGTACGTAATTATTTTGTACATGTATTAAGCAATAAACTGGTTTCATGTTATTGAAAGCAGTGATTCCAAGCTTTTAACTGTGGTGTACGAGAGGGAAATAATGAATTATACCATGCTTTTGTTATCGATATCATAATGGACATTGATCAAGCCAAAAGCAGCAACAACATACACACACCAGTCATTCACAAGAGAATCAGAATGGTGAGGAAAAGTACCTTTTGGCTGTCCGCGTCACAGAAGGTCAGGCCAAAGTAGTCCTTCTCCAGCAGGTTCAAGTGCTCACACACCATATCCAGCAAGGCCTGCCCCTTACAGGACTTCTGTCTCAGCACACACACAAAGAAAGAAAGGAAAAGAGAGGTTGAGAGGTCTGTACAGTGTAGAAGATGAACCCCCTCCTTTCACATGATCTTCGTCGATCATTTTGGCCCTTATTCAACAAAGCTGAGTAGAAACAAGTGCAGATTTGATTTTGAATGATATGAACTCTACTCTGTGTCTGATTCAGGAAACTGCCCTATGATGACAAAGCTTCATTTAAAAAACTAGAGCCTTTTTTCAGGTGGTGAAGTGAAGTGATTGTGTGTGTTTTGTGATTATTTTGGTAAAACACTGACTGTGTGAGCGGTAATACTGCATTATAGGAGCTTCTACTGTACCAGATAAGCTACGTTTTATATTATAGGGGGTCGTTATTTACCATTTCAGTGGCATAAAGCAAATGTTTTTAGAATTCAGAACCATTGGCCAACTGTGCTCACACACAGAGGAATTAGACCTCCGCATTTAACCCATCTGTGCAGTGAAACACCCACACTAGTGAACACACACACTAGGGGGCAGTGAGCAAACTTGCCCAGAGTGGTGGTCAGCCCTATCCACAAGTTGGGGGTTAGGCGTCTTGCTCAAGGGCACTTCAGTCATGTGCTGTCGGCTCTGGGGATCAAACCGGCAACCCTCTGGTCACAGGGCTATTTTTACTTTTATTGCTGATGTTATTAATGTTATTGACAATTTTCATAATTTCACTACAAATGTGGATTTTTTCAGGTTATAAAATATTATGCTCAATTTTACACAGACCTCTACCAGATGTGAGTTTCATACAGATATGCCAAGGATGAAACTGATAATTAACAAAACTTCTCAGTAAAATTAACGTGTGCTCATTTTACGATCAGATTTGACCGGACGTAGCTTGCGGGTCACTGAGTACTTTGGTCCCTTTCTTGGGGAATAAAGGGACTAAGTAGAATTGCTAAGTAGAGCGGTCAGGAATAGACGGACACTGTACCTGAAAATAGTCCAACAGTATTAAGTATGTTCTAACTTCTATTCTTGGTATCATAACTCTTAAATCTCATAATTCTTGGTTGTTGCTGTGAAACTGAGCGGTACTGTACAATGGACTTAAGAGCAGAAGTGCTAAGCTTAAGCAGACGCGCACATCATGAATAGAATCAAGCTTTAAGGTTACGCATATTATGCTTCTATTATGCAGTCAGGGCCCAGCATGTGGACCACCTCAAGGCCACACCCGGCTATTCTGCACAAAAGCGTGGCAGAGGCGGGGTGATTAAGACGCCGGCTTTGGCAGTGCCCGTCTACAAAGACACCGAGCATTCGCCTCCCAGGGAGCCTGGTTCCCGCGGCGACAGGGAGACAGAGCAGCTGTTTCCATGGAAACAGAAGTGGTGAGGGCTTTTTTTTTCCCTTTTTTTGTGAGCGTGAGTCTACTCCCAATCTCTAATAGCTGAAGCACAAGGCTTCGTGATTTTTTTCCCCCCAAAATAGCGAGAGAGGGAGGCCGAGAGAGAGAGAAGGTGGGGGAACAGTGACCAATGCATGAAGAATCTTAAAAAAAAAAAAGAAAGAAAAGAAAAGAAAAAGCTCTTAGAAATGCAACAGACATGGATGAGTTAGCAAGGGAGGCCCTCAATTACCCAAGCACATTAGAGTGGGATTTCAGGGCAGTTTAATATTTCTCGCCAAAATAATGAAATCGAGGCAGTCGATTCTGACGGCTCCCCAAGCGTTGAAACCCATCCAGAACCGCAGATGAGATTTTCACCCTCATCGCAGTCCCTACACGAGAGACTCCGCCACACTTGTTGCCAAGGGTGATTCATGGAAGGAGTTTGCCTGCTTAATCAGTAAGCAAGTGAAATGGGCTCTTCTTAAAAAGAGGAGAGCATAAATATGCATGTGCCAATATGAAAATTACACGCCAGCAGCAGACGATCAGTGTCCCCATGTCTATATCTGCCAATACTAATGCTAAGGCTGATATAGATTTGTCACCCTTAAGCGTAAAAATGGAGGTTGTTACTCTAAAAATAAGCACTACATTCTCTCTGCCATTAGCTTTAAGTACTGGTTCTGTGCAGAGTCTTCGGGGTATCCGCTCATGCATAACATAGGCTAATTATGGCATCATGTCTGCACTAAACACCAACCATCTTACCACCCAACTCATAGCAGTGTGGCAAGTGGGTGAATTTAGCTTTCTATGCTCCGCCCACAAATGTGCTGTTGAGTAGCGCGGGGGGGTGGGGGGGGGGTCTATGGGTGGGGGGTCTATGGGTGGGTTGGGGGGGGGGTCTATGGGTGGGTTGGGGTGGGCGTTGTCCACCCAGAGATAAGCCTTGCCCACCCAGAGGAATTATCTGCCCATCCAATGAAAAGTTTTCCTCTCTAGTTCATACAAATGCTCACTGCTTATAAAATCTAAGTCAAAATTTTACCGGGTTTAATTTCACAGAGTAACAGTCCTGGACCCCCCTATAAAAATCGGATGCTGTAATTTTATTCCTTTTGCCCACTTTCTTGTTGTTTACCTAGCCTATTTAGGAAAACCAACATTGTTGTTGTTGCCCACCTAAATAATTCAAATGCCCACCCAAAGATGGCGTCCTAGTAACACCTCTGTTAAGTAGTAATTGTTATCAAACTGTTGCTATCAAACTGGACTATGCTGTTGTAGCTAATTAAACCTAGACAGGTTGTAAACAACAAATAGTTTTCCTCCATGATAACTAGGGACGCGCTGAAATTTCAACCACCAGAAATTTTCGGGCAGCAATTGTTAAAAATGGCACTTTTGGTTTTTATTGGAAAAAGAAAAAAGGCAGAAAAAACAATGAGTGCGTATACATGCACTCAATAATCTGATCATAATCGGATTTCTGCAGTTATCCGATTATTCGAATGGTCATGTAAACTCCATACTCTGATCTAGAAATCCGATTAAGAGGCTGGATTTTAGCTCAGTAATCAGGAAAAAAAAAGCTGCGGCATGAAGTTTGAGTTTTATGTTATGTTTATGTCGCGTCTTCTTCTGTGAGTTTATTGGCTGGTTGCAAAGCAGAAATCTGATTACTGTCTGACTCGTGTAGACCTGGAGTTTTCCCATTATCCGATTATTCAAGTGCATGTAAACGTTTTGATTGGGTTACTGACAAAATCTGATTTCCTGCAGTTATCAGATTTTTGGGTGCATGTAAACACACTCAATGATATAGTCCTTCTACAACTAAGCCGCTTGTTAATTAGCGGATTAGCTGAATCAGGTGTGTTGGGAGCCGGAAAACACTAAACTGTGCAGGGCTGGGGGTCGTCCAGGACCAGGGTTAGGAACCACCAGTCTACATGCTCTAATAAGTTTACTGTAAACTGTTTTATTTACTGTCAGTGTTTTTAGGTCAGCAATTTTCATCCTATTGTGTCCTGAGTTTTGCTTTTGGCCAAGAATTTTCATTTCCTGCATTACTATTGCTCAATTATGTAAAAAATTAGGGATGCACCAACATTTCGTCCACCGAAACGTTTCAGGCGAAAATGGTCAAAAATAGCATTTTTGTTTTTTGTGCAAAAGAGAGAATGCAATTTTTGACTATTTTCAGTGAAAAAAGAAACAAAGAATTAAATAGGACAACAACAAAGTGTCAAAATCTAAGAGCTTACAAATCGTCTGAATGATAATGAAAACAAGAAACTGTGATTAAAACCTCTGTTTTTTCCTTCGCACTCCTGTGACAGTCAACACCGACACATTCAGTTGGAGCAGCAGCAGATCAACAAGGTGATAAACAGTTGGCTGTGTGGAATCATTTCCTGGTTTCTAGCAAGGAAATTAGACACATGATTTATAATCTCTGTTTACAGCAAGTAACAAGAGGAGGTACAATACTCAAGAACTTCTCCACTACAAGTTTAAAAAACCTGCTAATTATGCAGAATACAGCATATTAATTAAACCACTAAGGACCCTGCTAGTACGCTGATACCATCAGCCTCAGAGTTTGAAATCACCAACACCAAATATAATTATAAATTATGAAATTGTGAAAATTATGAAAGTCTTTGTTTTTTGATTTTGGTTTTCAGCCCAGCTAAGACATAACAAAAAACCTACACCAGTGTAGCAGGATTAACACTGACTGGAATGTTTCACTAGATTTTTACTAATATGCATTTCTATGAATATATCTATTAATAGAGGGTTTCTGCTGTACTTAATTCACCACTTTGTCAATAAGCCACAAGGGACATTTATTTTGAAAAAGTGGTCGTGGAGGCTGGGCATTCAGAGGGAAAATAACAGTGAAGCATCTTTTTCTTCTTCTGCGTGCTGACGTGTGAGGGATCCTCTTTTCATTTGCTCCTTTCATTTCATTGTATAAAGTTTATATTGACATATATAAAAAAAAAAACATAGTCTAGATGTTATATAAGTACGCCATTTTAGGGCCACTGTTGATAAAAATAAAAATAGAAGACTTTGAGAATGAAGTCGTAATATTTAGTCGTAATATTTTGAGAATAAAGTCATAACATTTTTGGAGGAAAAGTCATAACATTTTGAGAAAACTCGCTATATTTTATGAAAAAAGTTGTAATATTTCGAGAAGAGGACTGGCGACCTGTCCAGGGTGTATCCTGCCTTCGGCCCAATGACAGCTGGGATAGGCTCCAGCACCCCACCGCGACCCAGAAGGATAAGCGGTTTAGATGATGTATGTATGTATGTATGTATTTCGAGAAGAAGAGTCGTAATATTTAGATAATTGTGATGTTCTGTGGTGAAAATAAGCTTAATACAGCCCTGCACACTGCTAGCAACAGAAAGCCATGTTAGCCAGGCCATACGTGATGCCTATGGTTGTTTCATGTATTTTGTTCAGAACGTTATTTCGCAACTTTTGTGCACACTGTACGTGTATATCGTAACCAGAGCATATATAGCGAAAAGCATATTGGTTTTAATCAGCAGGTAGATCTGCAGGGCGATTTCCGCTGGTCTCATGCTTTCTGTTGGGCA